TGGCTAATCGGAAATTCGAAACATGGTTCACGATACTTCACAACCAAACGTAACAACTGATCATCATGTTCATAACATGAATATGACTTCTCAATTTTATAATAGCACGATCTTAGTTCACAATCAACACCGGCTATAACTTTCCATTTTCATCCTCTTTCCGTTTACTTCAACACTTGAATACATAATTAGCATGGAGCACTTACTACACAATTACATCGAATGTAATCTCACCAGTACTGAATTGTACAAATTGAAAACCTGTTTCAGCAATGAGACGAACAGCAAATACAATAGAACGTTCAAGTAAAAGCGAATCAAATGACCAGAACTTTCCTCGATGAGTGCTATACTTCTACACGGAGCGAGCGCCTCGATCACGCCTCATCTCCTTACTTTGTTTTCACGGTTTATGCAACAAAAACGTTTACCGCTCTCATTCCGTACGCTGACGAAAACCGTTCAAGTTGAGTCGGTCTGTCAGTTCTTATTTGCACGACAACAAAAATTGTGCTTTCCTCGGATGAAGAAACGCAATGCGGATGTGATTTAAATCTGTATACGAATGAAACCGAAAAATTTTCATCAACTTCAACTGTAAGCAGAGAAAGATGATTAAAAAATGCCATGCGAAGTTTCAGAAGAAAATAAAATGCAGTGATATCTTCTACAGGTAAATAATAATTGGTGTAGATGAAAGGTAAGGACGTTGTATAACAAAAACAACGAGGAAGTTGGCTCAATGCTCGACGTATCTTCACTCGAATTTGTTATTTCCGTTTATACAAGAACAAATTTTCAGAGATCGACTCTAATGAGGAAACTGTTAATGTTGGCGTATTATGGGTGAAATCACAGTTGTCAATTAAGAAGATGTTGATCTGATAATTAGCGGAACCCTAATATCTCGGTTTGTTACAACGGTTGTGCAATGGTATTTTCTCGTATTTATCTTCAAGAACAGTCCAATATTTGGTCCTCCGCAAGTTCTGACTTGCCCCTTAGGACACTATATGCAGGTTATTAGAGTCAGGAAACGGTCGAACGATCAAGAGCTCTTATGTGATTCAATGCAGCCTTGATTATACGTCATCGGGATGCTGAACCTACGTTGTGATGCTGTTAAAGAACTCAATACAACGTTTTGGAAAGTCTGGTCTTGAAGTTCTCTTGAAAAGGAGCTCACTGCGGTCAACTAGTCTTATCAATTTTTTGAAATGCAATGCTACTGTTCTATAATTTCTTTAGAACCGTAATAAGAAGCATAGAAACATCGAGTATACGCACAATTAAGCTACTGATAATTATAAAATCCTAATGCTCTATGTGTGTTTATCATTGAATAGCTTTGTTGGACGCACATGGAGCAATCGTACAAATAAAAAAGTTGGAATTTTCATAACGCTAACAACTATGTTTACTATCTTAGATTACTTGGCGAGAGAAAGATTTAATATGAATAAATACTAGTAGTCTGTCCTCATGATTGTCTCCAAGCCATTAGAGAGATGCACAACAATGACAAATAGCGCACGTGGATAATTCTCCGCTTCCTCTCAGCCAACGTTTGTCCGATGAAACTGCAGTCAATAACTCAGATCTCACTTCCCTCTTCGGCGTCTTTGATGAAATTTATAAACGATTTAAACAAACACATAATCATCGATTTGAATTTACTCCATTATTGAAATAAATAAAATATCTTGGAATAAAGTACCAAGTTAACTGACGATATACATTCTAATTATGATACATTACTGTCTGGGTCCGTAGTGAATCTCACAACCAGTAAAATGGTTCGTATAAAATTAGTTAACTGTATTCTTAATCAACAATCTTTTTCAATAGTGTTTCATTATGAAAACATTCATATTACTTACGAATATTACAATTAATTTACGAATATAATAGTAAATAGAACCAGAGCAATTCTAGAAGATTAACCGCTCACTCAAAGCCTCCTTTATTGACCGTAATGACAGGGGAGAGTAAATTGACTCCAGAACGTCTCGGCAGAGTTTTTCTCGAAATAATTTCTTGCACTCAAATAAAAGCGAAACAATTTTCATCGACTGCGCTGAGGATGCAATCTGTCTCAGGTTAGATGCCACTTGCTGGACGTTTCTTTGTCCGACAATGACAAATGTGGAACCTCTAACAGATTTTCCACTTTATCCTGCGTTTTGCCGTCAATTGTGATTTATGTACGCCATCAACAAGCAAATGTCACAATTATGTATGATAGATCTTTCGCCCAAAGATGCATCGTTTTCTCAAGACTTAATTACAATACCTACTACGTTTGAAATACACTGGGATTTTAAAATTACCAGGACTTCATGGGAAGACTAGCCGAGTGAAGACAATTTTAGTGGCAATATAAAGCAAGATATTATATACATAATCAGACATTTAATTTAATCTATACGGTATACGGTCAAGCCATAGTTAATTCAAAGAAAGCGGCCAAGAGACATTCGAGAAATTGTAACACTCAGGTCAGAATTGGAGGTAAATGAAGTCACCCAAAATGTCCTGGGTGTAACACCTTTCTTAAAGTTCTAACATGGAGAGCGCATTATGCAATGATTGACTCATCTTCCCATAGACAAGGCCAAGTCCCACATTAAAGGCGACACAATTTATCGCGAAGTCTTTCTGCTGGGCGGCACCTTGAGCTCATCATCGGCGCCCAAGGACGGGTTCGAGCGTTGTCTGAGGGAAGCGGAGGCTACAATTACGGCTGATAGCTTCGGTACGGAGGAGATTAGGACCGGCGGCAGCAGTCGACGAGCTTGACGGAGGGAGTGGAGTGCCGCTCCCACTGCGGGTGTCCAGTAGATCGGATCACGAAAATTTCAAGCCCACAGAGGTCCACCTAACATTTGTAACCTCTTCATGTAATACTTTTCTCTTCATAGCCCGGAGCTTTAAAAAGCGAGAATATCATTGCCTAAATGTAGATTTTAAAATTTATTTATCTATCCTTTGCGTAGTGGGTTTTATTGAAGACCAGATAATTTGTTTTATTGACAATTTCCAGTTAGTTTTCTCAATATATCGAACAATATTTTTCGTTTGCACAGGTAAATCGAATATCAGGGTACCGATGGATATTTTTATTTCGTTAACAACGCTTCGAATGTATCATTATAAAGTTACAAACTAATAAGAAAATTATCAACAAAACAAATTCTCTGGTCTTCAATAAAGCCTGCTTAAAGCAACAAATATCTGCCAACCTACATATTCTAATTTATTTTGCTTAGTATAACTAATCAGAATTCAACTTAGACAACAAAGCTACATAATAGTACATATGAGTGAAAGACGTAAATTCTAAAAATTATAATGGTTCCAAATGCTAATTATAAATTCTAAAAATGATAATGGTTCCAAATCCGACAGAAATTGATTATCATTATTCTACAACCTAAAGATGCAAATTTGATCCTTTTTCTTGCCCTCTCTTTAGCATGCAACATGAATTTCGCCATACTCACTGCATCGATTCAGAATGTTGTACACATCAAGTAGCAGTGTTCATAGAGACATACGCGAGATCAATACCAACACTTAGATCAAACTGAGTAATCAAATAGGTATTATTTTCCCTGCATTATTGCTGCTATCAGTATCGGCGAGACAGCATGCATATCATAGAGCTTTTCACCCGACCAATCAATATGCCACCATTTGCCGTTAACAAAGAACTAATCTTCATGTACATTAATGCATGAAATAGAAAGTGTGAGAGCGAGAGGAGTCCTGATAACTGTTGATGTAGATATGTTAGTTAAATTGCTTCTCCCTTTACTCACTCGCACACATCCGGTCGCTAAAGAACAAAAAGCAATTATTCAATTCCAAGCTGCTTGTAATTATAACACTTTTCCTTCTTCGTCGCTTAAAGAGTTTGTCATCCGAGTATTTCAAATTATTTTCAATAAAAAAAAACACGTTTTATGAATGCTTTCACAAATAATACTATTACAATGTAGAACCATTAACAAGTTGGAATTTCGACTTCACGAGCAGTAGAGAAGTTATGAGTGTGCTAAATCACGAACCTAACTCTTTGTCAGCTTCTGTAACTGATCCGAGCAAACCTCTGGGCTCTGGAACAACCTTCTCGCGAGCACATATTTTAACTCTCCATCTATCTACAGCGTCATCTCTGACCACACACAAACTTAATTTTGTTACCGTTAAATTTTCAATACATCACGTCTCTTCCGGTTAATTGTTTCGCCTGATTTTCTATCTACTCAGAGTCTCAGACCCCACATCTACAGAATACCCAGAATAGTGATTGAGTCTGGCTCCCCATGAATAAATGATTCAGCGCATTGAAACAATTGGAAACGGCGACATAAATAATGTTAATAAAACGATAACTGATCTGAAAACAAACATTGAGCCATCAAATTTTATCTTACATAAATTAACTGCGGCACAACCCAGTAAAATGCACGGGCTACTCAATGCACGAACGGTAGCGCCGTGGTACTGAAATACTGAATGCATCATTGGTTTTGTTTGAAAAAAAGATCGTAGCCTCAAATTGAGATTTAATCAACTCCTACGAGGCTACGGTCGTTTAATTGTATTGATGTCCCGAAACAATGATCGAGATACGAGTCTGCAGATACGACCGCTCAACCTAACCTAACCTACTCATCATTACTCATGAACGCAAGCATGTCACGCGAGCACCCTGCACCCGCATGTTAGCCTATGAATAGGAAATAGGTAGAAAAAGCGGTAGTACCGCTACCGTGGTTTCTCTTCCTATGTTAAAATTAAAGTAATTTGTTCTTTAGATTGGGTAAACTACAGACCAAGAGAATTAATTTAAAAAAAATTAATTAAATCAATTGCTACTTGCGAGGCTCATTGATAATTAGAACATAGGCCCTAGTCATGTATGAGCCAAAGATCAGAGGTTACAAGTGATTAATAATAAAATATTTTGGCACAATTATTAACATAATACTCACCAAAAATTGTCTCCTTACTAAAATAAGGGATTAATGAATGATATTAACACAGTTCGACGTGCTTTTGAATCAGCCCCGGGAAAACATTAACTGTTTTCATTGTCCGAATCAAAGATGAAAATAGAGTTAATAGACATTATGGCATATGTAGTTTCCGGTCATACAATCTGCAGTCAATTAGATAAAAAAAAGAAACATCCTAATAACAACTTGCACCTAGGTAGTTGATAGAAACGTCAGTAGGATGCAGGAACGCGAGAACTCACACTTTTACCTCTTCACTCGACCACTTCCCGCCAACAACTAAACGCGTTACGCGTATACGCAACCTGTAAGTCAATCCTAGCTTCTAAGCAATCAAGTCAAGAGTAACCGTCACCCACCCATCGAATCCTAGATTGTTGCTGCGGTCAGATGGTTTCCAATATATCAACTTTTTTTTCTTTAATGAGTCAAACAACTCAAAGCGTGCTTTCGGTTTTCAAAGCGTCATTGTAGCATCAAACACTCAAACAGGCATCAAATCTAAGACTTTGATATCTGCCAAAAAATCTTAGTCAAATCCATGTCAGTGTATTTTATGTAATTTCAAAAACTCTGTTTGACTGACCGTGTTTATGATCAAAGGTCTGTAATTGTGCCGGCCACAGTATGTTAGAGGTGTATATCCGTATATGTGTATCCAGAACCAGAAACACAGAAACCACGTTTGAAAATGGCTCCTACGCTTTCTTTGACACACTCGTGCTACGACGCTGTATGTCTGACTCCAAGCTAACAATTAACTTGACATACACATACCTCTTATCAGTTCAACATTAGCAATGTTACTATGAAGGTAGCATCATAAATCTCACCGTCATTTCCCGAATTACCTCAAACGTAACTGCTAGAGGAAAACGTCTGTCACATGCAAAACCAACGCCCGGGAATGCAGCCTGTACATCAATCCCTCGCCACGAGTTCAGCAATGCTCCTGAACACTTGATGTCGTTGATGCCAGGTTTCTGCAATTAAATCTATTTTAAATGAAATTGAAAATTTTTCCCGTTCTTTGTGCCTTACTTGACTTTTCATACGCAGCAGACCCGCACACTTCACACTTTAAAACAAATAAATTAATCATTCAAAAACGTTACTATACAATCAGGCAGTTGAAAAAATATATAAGAAAAATACATCATGTAGCACTAATACAGTCTAGGACTCTAGGCGAAGGTTCCACATTAAGAGAATAATTTGGATGATTTAAATTAGGATAGGACGGTAGATCACTGCATTGCCGGCAGCAAAAAAAAATGTATGACTGCACACTGCCCTTAATGTGTGCAACGTGAAGGGCATAAATTTGTCGCAGCTTTCTCTTCAATGCAGAATTCGTCAGATTTTTTCGGCAACTAATCTAAGAAGATGAAATAATTTCCTTAGGGCAAAAATTTGCCCAACCATTCGTCATTTCCCCTTTTTACTGCAAATAACATGGGAACAATTGTAGTTTCTTTCTGTATTATTTGAAGTTTCAGGGGTTTATCAATGGCCTAGATTTATCCAACGCTGATTCATCCGCTAATAACACTCATCCTATGAATAATGGTTTCATTAATCATGAAAGTGGTACCTATGGAACATTTCAGATTGATCACAGTATTATATCACGGAGGTCGAAAGGAAATATTGCAGTTGAACGTCCACCTGACGACAGAATCAACGATGCGTCTTAGTAATTACACGGTATTTAGCGGAACGGCGGAAAATGTGATTTTTAGTCTACAAGTTTCTGGAAAAAATTTGTTGGTACTACACTCCTTTTCTCCTAAAGCGGGAAAATAAACAAGTACAGCCGAGCAATCAAATTTCAGGGACATGAGCAAGTGTCACATTCATAAAGCAACTAGTAATTATCTTTTGATATCAAGAACACATGACTTAATGTCGCAGTAAGTCTCCGAAGATATTTAAAAACATGCGTCCGACACGAAACGGGCACATCTACGTGAACTTCTCAACAGGCAGGAGGGTAAAACTCAAATTGCATATTTCTAGGAAATAAAAACTAAAAGCTACAAGCCAATAATGCAATATTAGTTCGAAGTTCAGGGATAACTTATTTATGGTCCGCTATTTTTACTTTTTTCCCTGCTTTGGATAAGCGAGAATGTTGAAATTTTCTGTTAAAAAATTGTCAAAGATGTGACAAAAATAAATTTTACAATTCACTGAAATATATTTACATGAAATATTCAATTACACATGACTGTTAAAACTACAAAAATAGCAAAGCAATTTTAAATTTGGATTGATTGATTGTTGTTCCTTTCTTCAGGTCGGCACGACTTCTGAACACTGACGACAAGCAAAGTACTGAAGTGCAACTGTGAAATTAAATTATAAAGCATTTATATCATGTTTTACTTTGTCGTTGTCGCCGTACTCTCGTGCTGTGCACCGCCAGCAGCCACAGGAGGATCGTCGTCGATGCAGTGGCGTCGCTTCTCTGCCGTCAACAGGCACGGCAAGTTGGCCGACGTCACACCGATTGCTTCCCAAGTCGTGTTCCTGAGCATCACTTGCCTGCATATGTGCTTCTCCGAGCCTAAATGTTCGGCCGTGCAGTATCATGTGAGTGTTATAAATACATTACATACTTTTGTTTGTCATACGCTCAATACAAGAGTATTAATAAAAGAACTACGTAGTTAACTTCGTAACCTGGCTACCGACGATTTTGACAGGATCACTTGATAAATTTTTGGTATTAACGATTCCAGCCGTTTTTTTAAATTATCATTAAACATAGTTTGCACGGGTATGATAGTAGTAATAGTTTAATTAAACTGCAAGAACATAAACTAGTCATTTAGGCAAATAATAATTAAGCTATTCAGCATGGCTAAGGTTATACTAAGGATACGGGTACTGCCGCTTTGCCGACTTGCTAAACTGCCAACATTGACGACCGATAAAGGAGGGTCAGCTTCGTGTTGTGTGTGCCAAGCTCTTTAAAATTCATGTGATTAATGATTGCAAGTGATTGAAAAGATATATACGTCGTTGTGTACAATAAATTTTTTTAGTAACTGTAATGGAATAGGTACTATAGCTCGCTTCGGAGTTCTTATGTGGTCAATATCGCTAAATATGTTTAATTTTGGTAAGAAGTTTGTGAACAGTGAAGTGAAAATTCACTTTAGTAGCTAGCACATGCTCAGCGTTCCTTGCCTAATGTAGGCGATCGCTGTTTACGTAAATTACCAACACGAGTGTTTGATCTCTTCCTATATTATTTGCCTCAGTTACCCTCGAGGAGGTGCGAGCTGCTCAACAGGAGCCTGTGTGACGGAGGCGCTGACGGCGGGTCTCTCCTGCACGACTCCCAGTGGCGCTACTACGACCTCAACGCCACCAAAGCCGCGGTCAGGGGCACTTAAGAGAGAAATATTTCCACTGACAACCACGATAGTGATAAAATAACGTACTCATTTGAGCTCTGTAATTCTGATTTAAAACATTAATATTTCCTCATTGCATCAATTCTAAAAAATTAGTCCACGCTTCGACGAGTTAACTAAATCAGAAGCCATAGATCATTTCCTGTCGAAATAATAAAGCCAGATGCACTGATTCATTACAAGAGTAAATGAATTAAAAATTTTAGTATTTTCAAATTCTTTCAAGCGCAGGTTAGTGGCGACGTTTTCATGAACGAGACCAAGTGCGTCAGCGAGGGAAAGTGTTCAGCACAATGCGGTAAGCCAGAGATATAATTCAATCACTTTCTATGTTATTTTCTATCATACTAATTAAAGTAATTCAATCATCAAAACCTATAGCATTAGGGAAAGCGCCGTAATAATTCCAGCATTACGATTGAATAGTGAATTGTTAACGTCTATTACCGTTTTCCTTCAGCTCGGGTGGAGGGCGAAGAGTGCGCTCAGAACTTGCAGTGTCAAGTCATGTCTGACGACCTCCACTGCAACGCCACGGCTCAGCCTGATGCAGTTCCTCGATGTCGCTGCCGTCCTGGAACGTGGGCTTACAACTCGACGCACTGCAAACTTCAACAGGGTCGGGACGTGCTATATGGTGTCGTTATTTTGAATAATTTTTGTCGTGTCCGATGCAATTATCTTCAGGCGTTTTTATCGGTGTCGCAAGCCAACCATACTTACGGTGATTACGTTTAAAGATGTTTGAAAACCATGTATGTAATTACAGATGATCACAACGCCCCGAAAATATTTTTTCAATTTAAGTTGCAAACAATTTTTCTGAATTCAGATTCTACAATTCTTTACTTATTTGTAAGGATTTTTGGCCGAACTTATTCCCCCTATATATAAAGTTGATAAATTTGCCTCTTTATTATTATTTTGAATAATATAAATTAGAAAATATTCAACTCTAGTAAATTAGACTGCATTTTCAAGTTGAAACTCTTTCTTTTTTAGTGTGGAGCCTTCCTTACGCTACATGGGTCGGCAAACGGATCGTTGGGGGCGTGTGCCAGATTTCACTAAGCTTAAGGATGACCAACACCTTTTATATCCTTATGGGCACCAACGAAGATTTTTCTGGCAGTGCACTTAGATACTATGAAATTGGCAAGTCTTCAAGTCTTAGAACATTGACGGACTTATTATCAATTTTAAAGTTATCTTCTTTCCCCTTGCGTGTTGATTATATATTCTCTTGGACAAGCGTGATCATTTTTCTTGCCCATAGTGAACAGACATTTTGGGGGAGGTAGGCCTATCAATTGTCGGCACATACAGCCGGTGAAAATTAATCATTCTATTTTTTTTTTTTGTAGTCCAACTAATGCTAGTGCATTTCTTCCGCATTCATACAGGACTGACGAAGTACTACAACAGCACGCATACCTCGATTTATAACACTTCCCAGTGGTTATACGGCTACCTAAATTTTTCTATTTTCAACGACACCCTACTACCTTACACTTTAGCTTTCTGCAATGGAACCATCAGGTATACCAAGAAAATAATCGCAAACTCGTGGTAAATGTATGAGCTCATAAGGAGAATATAAGTTTTTATATCATTATTCTGCCTAACTAGCAAGTTTACTGAAAATTTAAAAGCAAATAAAACGCTAAATAAATTCATCATAGCTTAATTACTAACTTTACGAGTCATTTACCTTGCCTTGATAGTGGCTACATATCCTAGCTTCTTTAAATTGCTTCTCTTTTTGTTCCGTTTTCCGTATTTCGTATCTTTGTGTTGATCCCATCCATGTAATTTGTTTTCCTTGCTGATTGTACTTGTATTCTCTAATTTCTAAACTGATGATGGAGATGGATTCCAAAACATTTCCAACGAAGTTGTGGTGAATTAATGAGCTTGGCGTATTCATTGCTTATGTATTTATGGCTCAGTAACAGAGCACTATTTTTTTAACGATCGAACGATCACTGAACGGTAATTCCAGCTCAAAGATATAACAGAGTTTTTCTCAATTAATATTGAAAAAAAAAGGAAATTATCTTGTTCATACTGGTTTAACAATGCTGCAGAAATCTAAACTATTCGGAAATGAGAAATACATTATTGGTTCTTAGTTATAAGGTTATCAAAAATCTACCCTGAATCGTTCGTAGGTTCGGCTACGAAGGAGAAGAACCCTTTGTAACATTGGATGATCCCAACAAGTTCGTCTTCAAATTCTTAGCGTTTTTGAGTTACAGCCAAGTAATCAACGTTGACGACTACTTGTACGTCCCCGAATCCCTGGTCGACCCGTACTATCCTCACACCATCGAAACTAACAGTGAGTCCAAACACCACCAAAAGAATGTCCGCATTAACAACCTAATCAAAATTCCAGCTCGTGCAAATGTGCGGAGAACGGGAATTGAGTAAGAAACCACATGTCATGTAGACTTTTGAGCTTCAGTTTTCCTTATAATCCAATGATTAACTATCGATCTTCTCAGCTCTTCGAACAAATGGTAACTTTTGGCAAAGCTACGACCTGTCACCCAACGGGAGCCGTCTCCACAACTTCACCCTACACTTCAGATACATGGGATCAGCAAACGCCGACATCGGCTTGTACCGCGGTCGGGACCTCCAGTTCCAGTATCAACTCCGTGGGTTTCAAGTCCATAGACATTAAGTAATGATCATATTTAGCTGTTGTTTAGAACGTCCATTCTTAACCACAAACTAGATCGAATTAAAATTCAACCTCTGTATCCAATTATGAAGGAACATTTGTGTCCAATTATGCTGCGTATATTAAGTCTTGATCATGTAAAAAATATTTGAATACGTAGCAATGCAGATAAATAAATTACAGAAATCAATTGACAGTGAGTGCTCGATTGAGTTTCCTGTCCTGCACAAGCTCTTCAGATGGCTGATAATTCGCACTGTGCAAGTCACAAAATCATTCTGTACATTTATCTCATGTTAATAGCTCCCAGCTCGTTTTGTAATGTTCGACGATAATGCATACTTAAATTTAACTATTAAAATTTTTGCAACTGAATCAAAATGCAGCACCAGCAACACAACTCATCGTCCCCTAACGTTAACTGTCGATACCATATCTATAGATAACAATAGCGTTGAATCGAATAATGCATCTTAGTTACAGGGATAATTCTAATATCGGTTTATGATTGCGCATTTTCAATTCAGAGACTCACGATTTCTAGGTATCTTACCGGACGAGCTGAGATTGTATCCATACCTCGGTGGGGTCTATAACGTCACATCCTCTGACTTGGTATCGAGTACGGAATATCGATCATTCTACATCACCATGAACATGGGTAATTTCAGGTGAGAGTTCAGTTCGAATGCCTGAATTTCTAAATGTAAACTTAGTATTATTTATATTCTTCTTGCGTAGGTGCCACTGATGAGAGAGGCTCCTTATAACTTAAACATTTTCTAGATCTATATTTTTATCCACTAACTTTGCGCTTGCCCATAGCTTTGGTCGCCAAGGATTCCCGATTCCTCTGATGTTCTACCAAAATCCTAACGGTTACACTGAAGGATTTGGGTTCATGAGGATCTTGTCGTATAACGGGTACAGCTACTGGCAGTTTCCGGACTTGCCTCACTTGGCCATCAACGGCGACGGCGGTGCCACGGTCCCTGAAGCCTGAGAAGCATGTCAACTTGAAGTTATACGTTATATACGGTTGTTATAGCCGAATAGCATCAGCGTAGACGTTTTATTCCATCAAATGTTTAACCATTTATTTAGTGCGTAGTAGGTGTAGAGATGTTTTTTAATTATTCGACCCTTAACTTGAAAAGTTTACTAGTCCCAAAGTGACACTTTGGAAGAAATTCATTTAAACATAGCTAATCTTTTCCCTTTCTACACGTTCGTATTTAATCATAAAATGTGTTTGATTGCAATATCACTGATATAAGTTTCGATATTCCCTAGGCATTGATGTTTTTCCCACTTGGCTTGCAACATAAGTAAACTAAAATTTCCATGCATAATTGAAATTTTTTTTAAGATTCAAGAAAACAGTCTCTACTAAAAACTTATCCAATTATTAGAGTATTAATTGGAGTCGCATTACTAAATTACTCCTGGTCTCGTTGAAGATTTGATTGCGTACCAGAAGGCAAGATATCAATGTTACTTGCAAATCATTTGAAACATAAGTAATTTTCTCACTTGTGCTGCACAGTATAAGTAAATAAAAGTTTGTTAGCTAATACTTGTATTTTTAATCCTCTAATCCAGATTAATAGCTTAATAAGTAAGGCCATGGTAATTATCATTACGATGAAACTACAAGAATTGAGTACTCGGCACAAGTTTTTCTTTATTTATTAGGGAGTTACACCATCCCTGAAGACGCGTTCAATATATCCCCATGATGGTAGGATTGTGTTTTAGTCGCTACTCGGACGGTAATATCGGTCGCTAATACGTCAGCGCCAGAAACACCAACCGAACTTCTCTATACAACAGACAAGTGAGCTTGGTATATTTCAACACTTTACAGGTGGATACAGATGATGCAGAGTAGATACATTAATAGAAACAATACACCAAGCTCACTTCCCTGCTGGATAGAATTTCAGTTGGTCTGGCTGGGCTGAAGTATAATGCGCGGCCGACATCACCGCAGCGCTCACATATTTTGTGGGCTCGTCTGGGATGTGTGAAAAGACTCTTTCTCTAACAAAAAATGATAAGAAAACCGAAAAATAAGGCATAAAAATGAAAACAAATTTACGACACAATATAAAAGATATAACTGTTTGAATGGTCACAAAAATGTCAAGAAACTTGCGATGCAACATAATGACGAACGTAGGGTGGTTACAATAGGCTATAACAATACCAGAGTACAAAATGCCAATGGAAAACTTTGCGAGTTAGCTCAAGAAGGCAGTGAAAGTTAACTGATGCAAAGATAGCAGAAAAAAACCATATAGATATCAATATTTAAACTTTGTCGCATTAAGTCTTTTCTAGGTTGTAAAGATTTAGGTCTTACACTAGTTTTCATTTGTTATTGAAGGTCTAGCTTTGGTAATTAAGACTGCCATGAGATTCTTTAGAACAACAACACGATTATTCAGCCGATCGAAATATATAAGATCAAATTTTGAGTCAAACACGAATAATTAGCTTATCTTCACAATTTTACACAGCTGTTTGATTGTTTTCTTATATTTTTTTCGATCACCTAATCTTTAAAGAGTGGATGATCAAAAAACGATATCTGTCAAGCCATCTAAGTACATAAAATTTTACATGAAATGAGGCATCGGCAGCTCATGGTCATTCCCAGCCTTCCTAACATGTCAGCTAACACGGAACCAGGATTGGAAAATCGATGCGAAGTCGTGCTCCCCAATTCCCATTTCGAGACTCTTTTTACTCATTTCGAGACTCTTCTCTCGCGTATTATTTTAAAGTATGATGTGCATCCATTTGTAAACATAATGAAAGCTGATTGAAATTTCACTTGAAGAGCTAGGTGGAAGGGTTAAGGACGGCAGCATTTTGAACTCTTTATGCTCTGAACGAAAGCGGCAGCCACTATTTTCTTTGATCACTTTCTTCAAACAAACAATAAAATGGGGCCTATACATTTATTTGAATGAATTCTGTTGGCTTATTTTATTTAGTGAGGTTAATGTTGAATCGGATTAAGAATTTTCATAAAATCTGAAAAAAATATTAAACGCTTGTACATTTGGGTTGCCGTTGTTAGAAATTTCTTGCATCACTGGATTGGCTGCTGATCATTGTCATCACAGAAATTACTGCACAGTCGCTCATTTTGACAGGGTCGATTGAAGATAAATTTCGGAAGCTGTCTAGAAATTTTCACGTCCACGTGTAAAAAATAAAGCTGGAAGGTCACCTGAATACGGAACGAAATATCACCCACTGGCAAAAATTGGGCTGCACCTCGCAATTTATTAGCGAGGATATCCTTATTTATAACGACCGCTTTCGCCATTAGTCAATAGATACCCAAACATGATTTACACTAGGGATAAATTAGACCCCATGGTTCCAGGCCGCTGTCGTGCAAGGGTTTGGAATGAACAGAGTCATAAATCAACTTGTATTGGATGGAAGCTACGAACAAGATTGCAAAATTGCACGTGGCCTAGCTTGGGCGATTTTTCGCACAGTTGGCATAAGTTTCGTTTACAGGATAGATTTGCAAAGGCATTTGGAGGAGCAGGTTGTTCGGAATTGGTGTGCTCTCGAGCTTCGATTGTGCGATCTGTACGAACCACTTATTTCCTGTATAGCAGAAGATTTGAGAAAAAAGAGAGTAATGACATAAATTAAAATTGCATGCAAGTATAATTGTTGAGAGTTAAATTTTCACGAAGTCTCAGTGCTAATCACTAAGAACTTCAAGCAATGGACATAGCTGTCAAACTGATGGCTCCTATACAAGTGCAGCTTGTATTAATTAAAAAATAATTAGTTTCCTCATGAATGCTCTTTTTCAGTAATTATATTTTCTTATTTTTCACAATCCAGGCCAACCAGTTGCATTAAAATTATTTAAAAATGGGTTTATTAGATAAATCATAAAAATATAATATTATATAATCATAATATAATTAAATAATATGATAATAATTGGATTAATCAATATTCATAATACTAATTGGATAATTAATTTCGATTGGATCTGAATAAAATCATTTATTTTACTTTTCTAGGTTTCTCGACAAGTCCAATTAATAAAGACAAAGGCTATCAACTTATAGGGACAGGGATGCAATACGTGGTCTTTGTCTCCTATTTGTTGGTGTGGACGGTAGGCGAAGTGTGCAGTGAGTCCTCGATGATCCTGCAGCGTTTTTCAGCCGTCAACAGACACGGGAAATTAGCTGACGCGACTCCCATTTCTTCACAAGTCGTGTTCCTGCTCAGCACCTGCCTGGACATGTGCTTTGCTGACCCCAACTGCTCCGCCGTGCAGTATCATGTGAGTGATCTTAACAGTCTGTTTGTGTCATGCTTGAGATGTGAGTTTAGGAATTTGAAAAACTGTGAAACAATAGATTTTGGAAATACTGAATTTAAAATAATTGAGTTTGAAACAGGGTATTCAGCGATCAGACTGCACCACATTGATTGTATATTTTGAAACATGAACAACACAACCAGAATTAAAATATACTGAAAGTTAATCCAATAATCCATGCTGCCGACCACGCGTTCCTGTGCTATTAATTTGCCTCAGTTACCCTCGAGGAGGTGCGAGCTGCTCAACAGGAGCCTGTGCGACGGAGGCGCTGACGGCGGGTCTCTCCTGCACGACTCCCAGTGGCGCTACTACGACCTCAACGCCACCAAAGCCGCGGTCAGAGGCACTTCTTGGGGAAATTTCGTTATTGCTCAACCCCTTTATTGTCATTCTCATTAAAGAAAAGAATATTTAAATATCTAATCGATCCTGGTTAACGCAAATGCTACTTGCATTTGCGTTAACGCAAAAAATTGTACATTTTTATACCATTTACACCACTTCTCTTTAAATTCATTTCTTGTTGTTTGTTTGTTTGTCTGCTACAAATCTTTTAATTGATGTTTAACAAACTTCTACCTCCCCAATCGATCTGAAAATTTGCACACTTGCGTAAAGTTGGAGACAATGTCTGAATCAATTGTCAGAATAAATAATTTTTAAAATTAAAAAAATTAAAATTTGATTAAAAACAATTATAAATTATTTTTTTAATATATGAAAATAAAATTAGAAATTTATTGTAGATGTGTTACATCGGAGATTTCTGGAATCTTTAGTTAGGAGTGTTGTCTTTAAAAAGTAATTTTTAAACGCATACTATCATAACCCACAATGTGTTGCTTAGCCACAAACGATATTATCCAATGCATTTTGGGCTGATCTGAAATTTCGTAGGGCAACATGGGGCAGCGCGCCCCCCCCCCCTTTTTTAAACTAAATTTTTGATGAAGTTCTAAGTGATACGAGGTGGTTCTTTGTATTGTTTAAAGGTACTACTAATGAGGAATGTATAATGTGAATTAGACGCCTATATGTTTATTCAATTTTTAATGAAACACTATTTTGTAAAAAGTGTCAAAATGGGCCCATTGCCCCACCCCTGGGGCAATGGGCCCATGGGCTTGGGGCAAGGCGCCCACCCTTTACCACAAATGCATATTTTTTCGTTTAAAAATGAAAAAAAACATTACTTTACAGTTAAAAATAAGAAAATGTAATAAAAAATATGACATTCTCTCATTTATTTACAACTCAAAAAATCATATACTTAACTTTAAAAAATATACTCTTGGCTTAAAAAATCTATCACTGACGAGAAGAAAAATATTTCATTGATATGAAATATATATCCTTGACTTGAAAACTATATCCTTGCGATGAAAAATTCGTCCTTGACATGAAAAGATGTATCCTTGACTAGAAAAAATATATTTAGTTGATCAGAAAAAACTTCGTTCCAGTTTCGTCCATAATACAGATATTATGTGCAGAGAATTCGTACCTAATCGTGATTTCAGCCGACACCATAAAAACTCATCAACTTTTGGCTCATATTGGTGTTGACTGAAATCAATTTTTGGCAAGGCAAGAGTCAATAACTCGATAAGGGGTCATAAATACGCATAACTAGAAACTATAAACCTGCCGCCTTGAGGCGGCAAATCGAAAAATCATGCAATACGAAGTGTAATTTGTAATTCAAAAAGCTAGTCATAGTTTTGAAAAGGTCCTTGAGACAAATCTAATGATGTATAACACAAGACTTCCCCATGGGCGCTTTGCCCCGTGACACGCGTGGGCCCGTTGCCTCACTATAGGTATCATTTCAATTTATATCGTGTCAACATTTTATTTTAAAAGCTAATAGTCTAAACTTGATCTCAAAATTATCTCTGTAAATATTACTTTGAAAATATAATTCCCAGTAATTTCAAAAGCTTCATCTACAGTAATCAAAAAAATTTTATTTAGCAGCAAAAAAATTTTTATCTGGACTAAAACAGTTATTCACAAATAACTTAATAACGCAAACATTTAGCAAAACGTAAATCCGTACACTTCACCCCAGTGAAACTGTCGACCGGCGGTTGAGAACACGGACCAATATCTGCCATACTTAGCGAGAAACCCGCTATGGGCCCATGACCCGCAGTGGGCTCGCTGCCCCATGTTACCCTACCTAACACCGTGACACGCACTCTATATTTTCAGTGTCAAAATACTACATTAGCTTGATGTATAATGTGTCACAAAATTCAATTGGTTAACGTAAACTGAATGCTGCGTCCTTCGACTGCAGGCAAGCGGAGACATTTTCATCAACGAGACCCAGTGCGAGACTGAAGGGAAGTGTTCAGCGCAGTGTGGTAAGTCAAATTCTATCATATTTTCAATATTAATTGTAACTTTTATTATTAATTCATGTCCCAAGTCTTTGATGCTGCCCTCCATAAACTGACGTTGCCCTCTTTGTATTTGATCTGCATCTCTTAACTTTGGAACTGCTGGATTTTTAGTTTGGTTACATCGGATTTAACTTACGTTAGCCAATGTAATTCCAACTGTGAATACTCAACTCTTGGCATAATTTTCATTATTTATTGAACATTTTATAACAAGTTTTTCGACAAAATGTAGTACGAGTAGTTCCTTCATATTAACAAATAAATATAAATTTTCTTAGACGTATCCCTACACTTTTCAGTATTTTTAAACGTTGCTACATTTGCGCACCACTTTTTCAAAAATTTTATTGGACAATTTTTTTCAATACGTTTCCAACGTTTTCCCATAATTGCTCTAATATTTTGCCATTTTTCAAACAATCTCGATAATTTTTGTATTGGACGCTATACGTATTTTCCTGAAAATTTCAACACCAATTTCTATATTGTGCACTGGAACTTATCTATTTTGACAGTTAATTCACCCCAAATATTGGGATTAATTAAAAAAATTAAAGCTATTCAAGAAACATAATTTAAAAATTAAATCGTAATACGATTGCGGAATTCTCCATCCCTAGCAACCTCGAGCAGTCAATTGTGTTACAGAATGTATATTTGTGAGTTTGTGTGTAAGTTCGAAGCTTGCATGCTATTTTTTATTCATATTTATGTAATTAATTATATTTTTGTTAATAAAACAATAGTTAATGTGCAACAATTATTGAGGTAGGATGAAGGAGCTGAAATATAATAAAATTATGCATATAGTTTAATATGAAATCAATGCAATAAGTTTATGCAAAATATGTCCTAATAATTATTCAAATTGGGATTTTGAAAGGGGCTTCCGTTTGAAACTATGGTTTGAACGAGTACTTAATTATTTTATTACTGAGACTAACGTGTCAAAATTTTAATAAACATGTGCAAATTTGAAAGATAGCATATGATTAAATGATATCATTGAAACAAGGAAGTTTTAATGATGGCACGCCTATTATAATAATGGTAAGCAAAAATTTTTCTGATACTAAGCTTTAATTAATGATAGCGCTCCTATTTGAATGATAGGGTAAAAATATGACAAAGCGTGCAAATTACAACAATGGCGTGCACAGTTTAACGATAGCATTAACAAGCAGACTATCATAATAGCACGAGGATCATAATGATAACATGAAAACTATAATGATAGCCAGTATATTCTACTGATAGGTTGCAAATTATGATAATAGCATTCAAATTATAATATGCGAAAGTTATTCACGACGAAATTGTTCAATATATATTTTAAAATTTGCATATTGATTTGTGGTTCAATTAGGATTTCAATCCCACATAATTAGTGAACTTGCATGTAATGAATTTGACAACTGATATCGCATGGTTTACCTCAATATGAATATTTGAAACAATATTCAAGTTTTACGATTAAACAAACCAAATTACCGATAACAAACAAAGTTTGCGGTAGCGTCAGCAAACCAATCACTGAATTGCTTCGTCCCTTGTCGATTGCAAAGGTACAACAATGTACCTCAACTTGATAATATTGTTATTCAACCTAACAAAAGTTGAATTTTGTTTACGCGGTCTATCCTGAAGCACGTGGAGCTGGAGAGTCGTGCTCCAGTGACGTGCAGTGCAAGGCGCTGTCGGAAGACCTGCACTGCAACACTGCGCTGTCTGCACCGCAGTGCAGCTGCAGGCCCGGCATGTGGGCTTACAACGCCACTCACTGCGTACCCCAGCGAGGTCTGGCTCAGACTTTTATTATATAGAATTGCTTACCGCCTTCAGACAACGAAAAAATTTCCTGTAATGAAGATACTGTACTAGTTGATAGTCATATAAAACCTATTACTAATGTGGGCTGCTTTTTGATCAATCCTTGCTGCATGAATAATACTGAATTATGAGTTCCTTTTGGATTGATGGGAGTCCATTCAGACTCACGCTAATCAACTGATTATAAGAATTTACATTTATGAGTTTCAGTCTCCCTTTGCTCTAGTCTGGCGCATGGCTCAGCAAACTTGGTTTGGCAAGCGGCTTGTGGGCGGCGTCTGCCAAGTGTCAATAACAGTCCGGAGGACGGCTCACTTCCGCTTTCTCGTGGCCAACAACGAAGACTTCTACGGCGGCAATTTGCGACAAATTCAAATTGGTGAGTATTTCAATCGTATATTTTGAAAATATTATTATCCAATATATTAGTAATTTGTAATATATTAATCAAATGTTCATTGGTACTTTTTTGATTTATTTTATTGATGTTATCTTTAGAAATAGCTTAAAGTAATTAAAGTCTAAAATCTAAGATACATTTAATTTGAATTGTTATATTGAATACAATTGGTACTTGGTTCATAATGTCATTCTGAAAATTCCAGCGATAGAATCCCTTGACAATCGGCGGATATATACAGCATTTGAGTGTCGGCAAACCTCCTCATGAATTTCACAATTGTCCACAATAGGAATAAGGTTGATGTTTGTATCATTAATTCAATTACCAAATGACTTATTATACATCAAGCGCATCCATGCGAATCTTTCTCACTACCTTCTAGGAATAGAGAAGCCGAACAGTTACATTTGTTACTTTCCGTACAATGAGTCTGCAATTATTCCAATTTATTGTACACCAATATTCGCGATTGACATTAGAAGAGAGGTAAATTTTTTACCCATATATTTTTTGTCCATATTATTTTTTACCTATTACCTCAAAGTTTATCCTATTAATGAATGAATAAATCCACTGTTTTCATTGACAAAATCGCTAGTCTACCGTATTAAAATATTGAAACTGTCAATAATATTTTGCATTTATCTGTATTCAGGTCTTGGAACAGACAACAGTGGCACCCGAACGCTAATTTATAACTCCTCCCTCTGGGTTGACCCTTACTATGTCAGCCCAACTCCAATCTTCAACGGCACCTTCCAAGAGTTCACTCTGTCGTTCTGTGATGGAGCTATCAGGTATTCATGGGTCATTAACGCGACATATCGAGCGGTGCAACACTTAAGACGAAGTAAATTTCTATGATCAATCACGCGGGCATTAATTTACTCGGTACCTTCAGGAATTCACGGAACCACGAGTGTGCTCACTGGACAGACAGTACGTATCGCCAAACAGTATTCAGTCCATCTTGAAAAACACATATAATTTTACTTCAAACTATCTTGCAATGATCTTTATTAAATTCATGACATTCCACTGTTTTTGTATGCTATCAAACTTATGTGTGACGCGCCTTCAAAGTTCGTATGAACCATACGCCACGATAATCGCAACGTTGACTAATAAGTGTCTACACTTATTAATAATAAGTGTAGACACTATTAATTTCATAATCGGTATTAAAGTAAAATAATTGAAAAATACGCATTTGTTTCGCTGCAACAATGACTATTGATGCTAAATGGATTCATAACTTCTTATAATGTCAATGCATGTATTGCGAATATAAAAAAAATTCATAACCGTTGATTCAATAAATAATGTGACGTGTGAAATAGAGGTTTAATCTGAAAGTCTTGCCACGACCTAACAGTTTTGCATGGTTGAAATACAAGTTATGTTTCCAAATAAGTCATGTTTCCAAATAATATGATAATCAATAGAATTTTATCATTTAAGTATTTGTATTTTTTCAGGCTACATATCTTTTCCCATTTTAGGGCAAAATTTGTCTGAAAAATTTCCTTACGATCATTAACAACATATTATATCTTTTGCAATATACATATTCTATGTAACGAAACCACGTTTATGTATATAGATTCGGCTACGCTGGAGAAGAGCCATTTTTCAAGTACGATGACCCGAACAAATACGTTATCAAATACATAGCGTTTTGGGGGGTCGTTAGAAATGTTGGCATCGACGACTACTTGTACGTTCCTAGCGCCCTGGTCGACCCGTACTACCCCTTCACCGTCCAGACAAACAGTAAGTTCAGAAATTGACTTCTTATCCGCGCGAAAATACATGAATTACAAGAATTTTATCAAGGAGTATAATAATGATTAGGCTTTGTGCATGTGAAAAGCGAGAATATATTAGTTGTCAACTACAACTACATCTTGTCAAAAGTTGTCAAAAAACTACATCTTAATTTTAATTTCATACTCAGTTTTATTTAAAGTTTGCAGCACTATTTATATTGTTCACAATATCTCGAGGAGTTCTTCTCAGTTTAAGAATAAAGGCTAAAACCAAAAAAGTTGCATAAAACATTTTACTGAATAGAAGTCCTAGATAAATAAAACAGAACGTTTCGGGCCTGTCTCTTATACACATCTNATTCTAAAATTCGTAAATCGGTTTGGCTGCTAGCGTTACAAAGAATTTTAAATTGATCGATGGACACGGGAGGAGCAAGTGAGCACTGTTCTGTATGAAGTCTGACTGATGAATGAGGCGGCTGAGCAAGTGGACGCCCAGTACGGAAACTTCTTCCATTTATATTGTATTGTGTTAGAATCATTACAATTCATAGTTTTCTGGACCCCGAAATGAATTAAGTATCGTGGTACTAGCTAAATAACATGAAATACCTCAGCTCTGCGCACGAACGGAAACTTTTGGCAAGTGTACGACCTCTCGCCCAACGGCAGCCGTCTGCACGACTTCAGCATACGCTTCATGTTCAAGGGCGGGGCTGACGCTAGGTTAGCCGTCTGGCAGAGACGCGACTACTCATACCAATATCAACTACGTGAGTGAATTGATAGAAAAATTTAGCAGATTGCTATGAAAACTAGAAAGAATCAGTATTTATAACATTGTGCGGCCAGTTTCTTTGTCTGTAATTTTAGAAGCCTTGCGCTGCATTTTATTGTAGGTATTTGAACATTTAATCATGAACTGATTGTGTCGGCAATTAAGTCGCTTGCTTTATAAATTCAATATTTTTTAGATTGATCATGACGCTTTACGAAATACGGGTTGGATCATAAATTAAAATCTAATTTAATTAAGCTATATTAAAATTCAACACACAATAAAATAAACATTTTAAAATTTTCAACAGAGTGTTAAATTTTTATATTAACTAAATTAGAGTTTGAGTAGGCCTTCTTTTGAAGGCATTGATTAATTTGAGAGTCATTGTGATAGCAGGGACGGAATGCAGTCTGCTGGCGATTTTCTTCTTTTACAGCGCCCGGGTCAGCGGCGAGGCATTTCCATGAGACAGGAAAAGATCTTTTGACCAGAACACGACAGCAGTTTGATCTCGTTGAATTTTATGAAGATAGTTATTGAGAAAATTATTGCTGCAGTGGGGCAAACTTTTCGTGTGTGTTTTTGCACGTACCAATGCTTTTCAAACGTGCTATCTACTGACACTCAACGTGCACGTTTTTGGCGTACACGCAAAGTACTCGCGTTGCTTTTGACGCTATACAAGCATGTACTTGAAGTATATTGAAGTATAATAATAATAATAATATAATAACTATAATAACGGTTTCAGCGTTTATTAGGCCGTAGGCCTGTCACCGATTCTTAACATCGCAGAACATTCGCAGCATTTTGCGGTCTCGAAAGCGCAACGCACTGCTACAATTTTGCTTTGCTTAACCGCCCGGCCTCCTTGCCGATTCTGACCAGAAACAGGCGCACAGACTACAGAGCTGGGATCGAACCCGCGCCTCTCTGTGCCAATCCTGGTACTCTAAACTGTAACCACTGGGCCACCCTGCCCATAGTATATTTGACGCTATACAAGCATGTACTCGCACGTGTCTTGAAGTGCGTACGCGCGCATGCATGCGCAATTGAACATGCATCATGTTCAATTCATGTGCAGGGTTTGTCACTCGTCTCACTTAGCCTATATAGTGCACACGCTGCCATGGGCAGCGTGTACGTGTACCGGGGTCCCAGGTATCTTTAGACATTAGATTTTTGTAGCAAAAAAACCCTTCGTTAAGTGTCTTCGATTTGTAAACCGAATCAAAATATACATTGAGCAGTTGAGTCCAGACTCAAGTTTGTTGCCGCATACTATGAAGTTCCGAAAAGACTGGACAAATGTGAAGAATCAGAGTGTGGTCTGATACAGTATATGTTTTTACTCTTCTGCATTGGTTGGATTTAGGGAGGGAACAAAGCTTTTGAGGTGAGCAATGGTGATTGCCGATTGGTCATTTAGTTGCCTTTTAGTGTAATTTTTGGTGCATTATGTTGGACAACGTGGCCCAGTGGTTATAGTTTAGTCTGTTTAGAGTACAAAGATTGGAGCAGTGAAGTTTTGGGTTCGATCCAAGTCTTTTGCAACAGTTCTTGTCAAATCGTCGGCTGGGCAGTTAATCATGACATGATTGTAGTAGTGAGTTGCGTGTTGAGAGCCGCAACAAGCTATGAATGTTCTGCGATGTAAAAATTCGACTACAGGTCTAACGACCTAATCAATGCTGACACCGCGTTTATTATTGTGTTGAAAGACATTATTGGTTAGCGGAGGTGATCCAGAGACATTATTTCTGTCTCCTGGGTGACTCGCCTGATTGTAATTCATTTGCTGTACGAGTATTTGGTTTTCATTGAGTTATTAACATATCCCGGTTTGTCAAGGGCCTGGTTTGATGGCGCTTCCACTCTGTTCGTAGTTTTCCTGCCGAGTTAAAATAAAGAGCAGTTATATATAACGTGAGTAATATGTCCAGGTACGTGGTTTCGATCCCAAGGTGGGATATTTCTTTCACTTAAATAAATCGTTCACAACCGTACGATGGACTGCTAATTTCTTGATTTCACTAAGATTTATTAGGATTAAAATTATTTGGTGTGTCGCTTGCTTCTGAACCTCAGTCGGTCGCGTCCATTTTACGTTGATTAAAAATAAGCTCAAAACAGAGTGAAATATAAGCTGCGTACGTCTGCATGGAGCTAGGTCTTGACCAATCAAAACAGGCATGGCTGAATTCACAAACAAGATAATAGAATAAATTACGCATGTGTAAAAAATAGGATGCAAATTGAAGATTGTTGGATATTATTTTCAGGGGGATTTAATTCGAATTTACTCCTCCAGATTTAGAACAGACAACGAAACATTACCGCAAACGATAAATGTAACCTATAACTTCTGAAACTTAGCGCGAGGAAGGTAGATATAAAATATAAAGTTTGTCACTAAGGAGAACAATTTATTGCAGGACTGTTGAGGAACGAAGTGATCTTATACCGCTCCGACCTCGGTTGGTTCTACAACGTCTCGGCCCCTGACCTGACATCGAGCTTGGAATTTCGGTCTTATTACATAACCATGAACTTTGGAACTTTCAGGTATGAGTTTAGTGTTTGTACATGTATATTGAACCTCAATTAAGCGTCTCATTCAAGATCTGTACGGAGCTTTATATAGATATAAAGCTGGCCAAATAACTTTATGTAGGTATATCTCCCAGTCCCACAAAGTAACCTTTCTAACGTTGCAGCTTTGGATTACAAGGATATCCGACTCCTGTGATGTTCTACCAGCGACCGGACAACTACACTGCAGGATTTAATACTCTCCTGATCAGCGCGTGGTCGGGGTACAGCTACTGGCAGTTTCCGGACTTGCCCCACTTGGCCAACAACGGGGACGGCGGTGCCACGGTCCCTGAAGCCTGAGAAGCATGTCAACTTGATGTTATACGTTATATTCTTTCGTATGAGAACATCAAATGTGGTAATTAGGAGTTGAATTTATACACATGTTTTACCACTTAGTTAATAATTAGTAAAGGTGATGGTGCGTTTTCACTAAATACATCTTTACCAAAGATATGTAACACTAACATAATGGCACTTTGGAAGGGATTCATTTATTCACAGCTAATTTTCACCTTTCTCCACCCTCTGATTTAATTATCATTAAACTTGATTGATGCTAAGGTACAACTTCCTGGGGCATTGAAGACCTACTTAGTTTGATACGAACATCAAATAAAAATTTTACAGAGCCAAGCTTCTATTACTAAATATGTTAATCAATCTTATTAAATTAACGAAACAATCGGTAAAACTTTTTAAATTATCAAGCCTGGATTCATGCTATCTACTTGCTCCTGATGTCTCCGAAGATACGTACAATTAAATCAGAAGGGAAGATGTTAATTAGAGTATCTTTTGGATAAGGAGTGGGATACATTACCCAAGGTCAGCGACATTAATAAATCTGATTTTGTGTGCTAAAGCTTGTATATTTGAATCCTTTACTTTAAGCTAAGAGCTCAACGACCAGGCCTATTCGAATTATTAACTCAATAAAATTTGAATACCTTTCATTTTAACTGCAAGTGTATATTACTCGAGCTGATATTTTCTTCACTCATTAGGGTTCAATATGAGCTTTGATACAGACTGGTCCAATGTATCCCCATGCTTGGATGGTGCGTTTTAGTCCCTACATATCAGTAAACAAATGTACGGAGTACAGAATAAAGATGGTCGAAACCATTTAGTACCATTTAGACACGATCGAATGCAGTGAATGTTGACTGCATGATGCACAGATAGCAGACATGGAGTCCTATAAACAAAGAAATATTTATTTTGTATAGCAAGTCTTTTCTAGCTTTTCATAATTATGGTCTCATATTCCAACATGTTATTGAAGGTCTGGCTTAGTAAGCATAGATCAGCACTAGATTTTTTTATTACAAGATCAAGGTACTACAGAGGATAGATATATATAAGATCAGATTACTAGTCAAAATCGATAATAGCTCCTTGTTAAAATTTTATTATGTCAATATCTACTAATATAACAGCATCATCATTGTTAATGAACAAAACACTGGCCACTTCCGTTTTTTAGCAGTATTCTTCACACTTTCCATTTTTAAATCATCAAAAACTGGATCGTTCAAACCTCCTAAATATGTTAAAGTTACTGGAAATATTGAAAAAGAGGGTCGGCAGCCTGTGGTCATTCCCAGCCTTCCCGATGGCACGGCAGCTAACACGGAACCATGATTGAAAAATCGATACGTACTCGAACACTACTCATGCCTTCCCATTCCTTTTGTAGTCGTCTTATTTGAAACTCTCTTTTTCCTTCTCATATTATACTTCATCATAATGTACATCCATGAGAAACATAATTGAAGTATAAAGTTATGTTGAAAAATTTGACAGGTTTGGAAAAAATAAGGACGGCAGCACAATTCACTCTTTATGCTTGAAATGAAGGTAGGCGATATAATTATTTTCGGTTCTCTTATTCTCACAAAGAAATAAGCTTATGCATTTATTTGTATATGTCATGGAGTATTTTCTCGAGTTTGTATAATCTTCATTCAGAGTCAAGACTCTCATTTCATTAGAAAATATAAGTGACTTTTTGCATGTTTATCTGCAATTTTGTGCAACGGCGAATTGGCAGCTGATCACTCTCATCACAGAAATTACTGCACAGTCGCTCATTTTGACAGGGTCGATTGAAGATAAATTTCGGAAGTTTTCTAGAAAGCTGCAGGTACACGTGTAAAAAATAAAGCTAGAAGTTCACCTGAATGTGGAACGAAATATCACTCGCGGACAAAAATTTTGTATCATCTTGCAATTCCCATTAAGAAAATGATGGTTTATAATGGCCGCCTTCGTCGTTGATCAGTAGTTACTCTAACAAGATTTATACCAGGGATAAATTAAGACCTCTGTCATGCATTCGTCTGGAATGAACCAAGTCACGAATCAACTTGTACTTGATGAAGGCTAGAAAATGCAATACAAAATTACACGTGACCATGGTCGTTTTTTTGCTCAGTTGGTGTACAATGTACATTGTTTCATTACTGGAGGGCAGATTTTCAGAGGCACGCGGAGGCGATGGTTGTCCGACAAAACTTGATCTGCTTACAGCCTTCACTTTTGCGATACGGATTAACCACTTATTACATGTACAACCGGATATTGTTGAGAAATTTAAATAATTAGGCTATTCAAAAATAAAAGCAACAATTAGTAGTAGTAACTCGTATACAGGTAACCAGACAGCGCACCGCTGGCAGTGAAACACAGTGTAACACAGAACGTATACTGGCAAGCGTGAACGAGGTTCAGCAGTCTGCATATGACGAGTATAAAAGGCATACTGATAACGATGTCAGATACATCGCATATCGGCTATTATTCGCTCTATTATGGTTCCATAGAAAGTTGTGCACCTTAACTCTACACAACTCGTATATAGCTTCACGAAGACCTAGTGCTAATCATCAAGATCATTAAGCAATAAACATCGCCGTCAAAATTGGGGTCATGACTCGTATATCAATGGAGCTCCTACTAATAAAAATATCGTTTTTTCTCGGTAATTTCTTTTACATATGTTTAAGCCCAGAGAGTGAAGTCAAAGACAATTCAATTTAAATTTGGACTGTAGTTTTAATTATCTTATCAGTCGTTACCAAACAAATCTACAAGTCCAGCAATCCAGTTCATAAAGACAACACTAATTACTTACGATCAAGGATGCAATACGTGGTCGTCGTTTATTTGTTGGTGTGGACGGTAAGCGAAGTGCGCAGTGAGACCTCGATGATCCTGCAGCGTTTTTCAGCCGTCAACAGACACGGGAAATTAGCTGACGCGACTCCCATTTCTTCACAAGTCGTGTTCCTGCTCAGCAATTTTGAAACATGAACAACACAACCAGAATTAAAATATACTGAAAGTTAATCCAATAATCCATGCTACCGACCAAGCGTTCCTGTGCTATTAATTTCCCTCAGTTACCCTCGAGGAGGTGCGAGCTGCTCAACAGGAGCCTATGCGACGGAGGCGCTGACGGCGGGTCTCTCCTGCACGACTCCCAGTGGCGCTACTACGACCTCAACGACACCAAAGCCGCGGTCAGGGGCACTTCTTGGGGAAATTTCGCTATTTCTTGATTGTTTCACTCACTGTTATTCATAATAACGATCAAAAAATTAGTATACGCTTCGAAAATGCACAAAAAGCAACGAAAAAACCCAATGTCATTTATATTGATCAACAATATATACGTGTGGTTAGAAGTTTAGAAATTCTACATTAAGGCTGATGAACAGTATTTCAGAAAATTCATTTGTCAACGTAAACTGAATGGTGCGTTTTTCAACTGCAGGCAAGCGGTGACATTTTCATCAACGAAACCCAGTGCGTGACTGAGGGGAAGTGTTCAGCGCAGTGTGGTAAGGCAAATTCTTATCTAAGTCTTTTAAAAATATTTATTATAACGTTAATTGCTCCTTGAGTCACAAGTTGGGAAACTCTATTTGTTATTTAAATTTGATGTGTTTCGTCATTTTATTGTGTTTTGTAGCCTGCCAGAATTGGATTAAACGATCGAGTTCATCTGTATACGTTCTCACCAATAGTGTGCCAGTATTTTTTTCCAGATTTTCAATACATGTTACAACTAATCCTCAGAATGCAATCCTCATGCGCCTTTCAAACTTTTTATACGTGCATCTTACATTGTTGAAGAAATTTTACTTAAATTTTCACATTTATCAAACATTTTCAAAATTTGTAGAAATTCTGCATACTTTTGTATTTTCCTAATTCTTATGGTTTTGCTAACAGTCTCAATTATATTTCTACTCGTTGAATGAGAGTTTAATTAAATTTAATTGAGTCATAATATTCATCATCATATACATTGAATTAGTAGATGAGCACTGAAATTGTACAGTGATGATCAGAGTTAATAATATTGATCAAACTTTTCGTTTTGGGATGTCACCAATGTAATCGGGATATCAAAGTGATACAATATCCCAAATGTAAGATTTCGGATTAAATGACTACGTTTGATTTAGCTGGGAGTCCAAATGAATATTCAAAATTCGTTCACAGGCGTGCATTGTAGCATTTAATCTTATTTGGGATACTGTACCCAAGTAACAATGAATTACCCTGCTAGTTTATTTGATGTCATAGACTAGGTATTTGCTTGTGAGTTCGTTGATAATTTTGAAGCTGGTAAATCAATTATTCACAACGCAATCGTGTTGTCACATTAAGTGATTTTTTTCTAATGAAATCATGAAACAGTGTGTGAGTTGGATTAAAAAATTAAAATGTGATTGAATTTCACAGGGACTTTAAAATTAAATTAGGTACTAAATAACGACACTTACCTCATTCATAACAATTAGCGATTCCTTCAAAATGTCAAAATAGTAGTTGAACGGGCGTTATTTTGGAAGCGATGGTTTGAACTACTACTCATGTTATTATTGAGACAAAAATATACAAATTATAATGATATCATGCAAATTTCAATGATAATGCCATTAAATTTCAATTACATTTTAATGGTAGCAAGCATATTTGAATGGTTTCATACAAATTATGATGATAATCTTCAAATTAACATTATGATGATAACATGCAGATTTTATTGATCTAAGAGAAATATTATTGAATATGAGTATATTTTAATGACAAAAGATAAATTCTAGTAGTAGCATAGCAATTATAATGATATCATTAAAATTATAAGGAATGCAAGCTAAGTTCATTGAGAAAATGAAATTTGCGATTATTGCAAGCAAATTAAAATATTATTAAAATATAACTCAGTACACACTGCAGTGAGTGACAGAAAGCGCATTTTCTCGTCATCAAAAATGTGAAGTCACGGACGGAAAGACAGACAGACGGACGGACAGACGGACATGGCGAGCACAATAGTGCATTTTTTCCATGAGAAAATGCGCTAAAAATGCAATTGTTAATGGTAGCATACAAATTACAATGCTAGCAGGCAAATTGCGCTGCTGGCATGCAGTTGTTAGTGATCGTATCCATAATAAATTATTTATGGCTGATGAACATCAAGTAGTGCATGAAGGGTTGAAAGTATCACCAATTTTCAGTGATTATGTAGTGTGAACTATACAATGTTAACCTGTTAACATAATGTGCGAACAATACAAGGTTAACCTGTTAACATAATGTGTGAACAATACAATGTTAACCTGTTNGTCCCGTAGGGCAGAAGATCAGACAGATCAGTAGGTCCCGTAGGGCAGAAGATCAGACAGAAGATCAGTAGACGGAATCAGCGTTACCGGCGCGGCTGGTGCAGGCTGCTTTAGGTCTCCATTGCTTCTTCAAACTCAAGATATTGCAACCAATACTATTCCAGTAGCGTTTGTGAAGAAATCTAGTTAAAACAAAGTTCAGATCAAACTGTAATTCTGGGGCATCCGCATCATCTTTTCAATCCAGTTTAAAAAATCTGTCGTTTGATGCCGTCTAGGTTTTGCCTTCACTTCCGCAATGGGTGCCTCCCTAACTTCGGAAATTTATTAGACGTTCAGGGAGGAGAGCATAAACATTACAACTCAAGAATGTGGTAATCAATCAAATGGATAATTACATTTTTTGAGCCGATCTGCATTGGTAATTTTAATATATTTTATTGACAGGTATTAGTATAATTATGCCTCTAATTGTGACCCTTCATATATGAAAATGTTTGACAAAGTCTGACGATACGTCAAACAAATTAACCGATAGCAGACAAGATGTGTTGTATCAGAGTACAGCGTCTGCGAGTAAATCCTTTTAATACTCGCGAGAAATTGCTTTAAATGTAATTTACGTGCCCAATCCTGCAGCACGTGGAGCGGGAGAGTCGTGCTCCAATGACGTGCAGTGCAAGGCGCTGTCGGAAGACCTGCACTGCAACACTGCGCTGTCTGCACCGCAGTGCAGCTGCAGGCCCGGCATGTGGGCTTACAACGCCACTCACTGCGTACCCCAGCGAGGTCTGGCTCAGCCTTTTATTATATAGAATTCATTAAAAAATTTATAAGCTAAGCAAAATTTACCATGCACTGATAATACTAATTAATGAACTGATTAATAGTACTGTAATCGATTCAATCGACCAACTTGTGTTGATCGATTTCTCACCATTCTCTGCTGTACGGGAATAGTGAAGAATTTTACTCAATAACCTTTCCGGTTCTACTGTATATAAGAGTGTTTCAATTTTTAAGTGTCCAAACACCAAATAATTTGAACTCGAGATTTTTTCCCCGTGTATTTGTAACTTGTTAATCGCTTCAGTGTGGCGCATGGGTCATCAACTGTGGCTGGGCAAGAGACTTGTAGGCGGCGTCTGCCAAGTGTCCATAACAGTCCGGAGGACGGCGCAATTACGAGTTCTCTTGGCCAACAACGAAGACTTTTACGGCAGTAACTTGCGACAAATTCAAATTGGTGAATATTACAGTCACGTATTCGATGACAATTGAAAATTTGATCGATTCGACATGAATGTTATTGTTACGTAAATTCGCTTCAGAAGAGTTTGAAAACACGATTTTTGGTCGATTTTTTTTATTAATATCGGTTTCTTTAAAAACAAACAATATAGGTATAACAAACATGGTAATATAAAATAAGTATTGCACTAAAGTTAAGATTAACAAGTAAAATGATTTATTTAGAACTTATGTCTAGACATTAAAACAGTTTTTTCATGTTCAAATGAACCCTCGGAGTTAAAACACACATATACCAAATATTTCCTTCTTCCTACTAGAGAAGCAGCACCAAACTAAAACTCCGGATGCTAGCTTAATCGACTAAGGGTGCATTGTGCAGTACACGCATGCCCCAGGCGAACACAACACATTAAAAGTATATTCGGGATGAAATAAAGAATTCAACAGTTATCTTCTGTGATGATGCTCTCCTGCTCTCCGAGTGATATATAAATTTAATATGTGACATGTTTCTACAGGAAAGTTATCAATATGCAAAGGGAATAAATCTCAATTTTAAGTCGGCAAAACAAATTAATTTATACAAATTAAAATTCGATCTACGTACATTCATTTTTTGCTGAACTTCTAAGAGGACATCATGAAAAAAGGAAAAAAATAAATGCACCTTATTTAAAACAATGTTCTAGAATTTATTTCACAATACCGCTCCCTGAATTTATTTCAATTACTCTTCAAATGAACGAAATTTATATTACTTGAATTTAATGCAGTCGATGGATTAGTTTAGAACGAAAAGCAAGAGGAAAGATCGCCATCTAAATTGGATGTAAACCAAATTCAAATAAGCCATATTTTATATTCTGCTCTGAATCAGCAAGTCTAAAATGTAGGCCCGGTCTATGTTGCTCATCAGGTGTACTTAAAAGTATTTTTATTGCTGCGCTATATGCTTTGCCTTTAGCATTGTGAAGACAGGAGTAATGGAACTCATCTGCAATTTCATTAACTATGTGTTGTTAACATTCCCATATTGCTATGTACACATATTCTGCTTTTACATTTCTTCAGCGTTTGGGATGGACGGTATCACCCAAACTGCGATCTATAACTACTCATATTGGATTCGGCCGTTCCACAGCAGCCTACTGCCCATCTTCAACGGCATCTTCCAGCAGTTCAACCTGTCGTTCTGTGATGGAGCCATCAGGTATTCATTGGTCATTAACTCGGGGCATCGAGCGGTGCTGTAAGAAATCAATCCCAATTACCATGAACAATCACTTAGACCTAATACCTTTTGGCATTTCAGTATCTATATTTCGTCAATGAACAATTTTGCCACATTGTATTCAGTCAATTTTGAAAGTTGTATAAATTTCACTTCAAAGGAGGTTCTTGCAATGATCTAAATTTCTTTTGTTGCCTTTAGAAGCAGTTCAACTTCACTAGTAGAGTAGATAGCAACCTTACTGAAATAGCTGACTAATACATACAGTAATGTTTTCAAAACCAGTGGGCAGCCTTGTGAAAAAATATACGTATTAACACCAGGTCGCTGACGCGTCTCGTTATCTGCGAGCATCTCAAAATATTGCACGAGACTGGGAGAATACAAGTGTATTTACTTCCGTTTAAATGTCTCTTCTTTATTTCTAATATAATTTGGAAACATAATAGAAGGATTTTAAAGCCGCTGGAACAAGTAGCTTAAGTTGCTTATTATCAACACAATTATTTATATCTAATATGGAAGTTTTTCCGAATAATTAAATAATTTCCCAAGGTTCGGCTACGTGGGTGAAGCGCCATTCATTACGTTCAATGATCCATACAAATACGTCTTCAAATACATGGCCTTCTGGGCACCCATTCAACAAGTTGATTTTGACGACTTCTTGTACGTGCCAAACGGACTGGTTGACTCGTACTACCCGCTTACCGTAGAAACAAACAGTGAGTTCAACTATCATCGCATCGCGTGAAAATATATCGATGGAAAATGACCAAAATAAAGATTGGATCTAGTGTTTTGTGGAAATTTTACAATAGCATGATGTAGCATTTCGAAAACTGGCTATCTTTATTTTCAAGTAAGTAAAATTACTTTTGCCCTGTAAGTAATTTTACTGCCTGAAAAAGATAAAGAATCTTCAGGATTCTGCAATAAATGGCAGGCTTTTGATCGAGGGTTGTGACATATCCAATTACACTCTCATACTTAATAGCATAGAAGTTTAAAAACTAGAATACAACATGCATCTCACAAGAAAGATAATTATTATAATAGAACTGTGCCTTTTTAGCTATTAATCAAATAAAATCCTGACTAACATGCCTGACTTAATTTATGACAAAATTATTCCTCATTCGTAAAATCTGTCAGCTCTGCGCACGAACGCGGACTTTTGGCAAGTGTACGACCTCTCGCCCAACGGCAGCCGTCTGCACGACTTCAGCATCCGCTTCACGTACAAGGGCGGGGCTGACGCCAGGATCGGTCTCTGCCGGAGTCGTGACTATTCATACCAATATCAACTACGTGAGTGAATTGAATTACTGATATATTCACAGACTATTTTGCAGGTTACAGAGAGTACGGGTTGTAGTTATATTCAATTGAAATTATTCATGGACCCATTTCTTCATTAAATAATTTACATGTATTTATATTTAATATTCTTGAATCCGCTGGATTATACTGCGGCTGAATTCGAATTTTAAAGGAAAATTAAATGCTACGGCAAATTCATCAAATCCAATTTAGATATAATTTTTCATTTTTATCGTTAACTAGATAAAGTATTCTTGCAACGGACCAAATTCGAACTTCGCGTTCGCTGGCGTACGAAGAAACGGCATCATGGAAGTAACCGATAACTCTTCATTAGGAAGAAGGTTGCTAAGGTATAGACTATAGAAGATTTAAATATAATCATTCAGCTATGTGTTTAATATCAGGCCTGTTACTCGACCAAGCAATCTTGTACCGGACCGGCCTCGATTGGTTCTCCAGCGTCTCAGTTCCTGGCCTGATATCGAACTCAGAATTTCGTTCTTTCTACATCACTATGAAGTTCGGCACTTTCAGGTATGAGTGCAGCGATTGTAAAATAGCCGTTTGACCAAAAAATTATATTTTGCCCAACAAGCAGCGCAGATAATAAGGCCTCAAACTTCTGAAAGTGAGCACAGTTTTGATATCATTTCAGCTTTGGTCGACAAGGATCGCCGACTCCTCTGATGTTCTATCAACATCCTGGCAACTACACTGCAGGATTTGTCACTCTCATCATCTCCTCGTACCAGGGGATATATGGCCTCTGGCAGTTCGCGGACTTGCCTCACTTGGCCAACAACGGGGATGGTGCCGCCACAGTGTCGGGAGGCTGAGAAGCTCCCGTACATCTCAGACCTTCACGGGATGGCTCATAGACAACCATATGTCACGACGGCATTAAATATGTCCGCTAACGCAAGCATGTCTCATTGTTCTTCACAGCCTTCTTACACAAAGAAGATTCTTTGCGCACAGTAATAATTTTCATCACGAATGCCGTAATTTTATCTCATTTATTCAAATGTAAGCATATATATATATATATATATATATATATTAGTATAAGATAGCAGAATAAGCTTGTTTAAACACGAGTGGTTAATGACCAGAGAAATCATCGATTTAAATTTTCAGGATCGAACAATATTCTTCAGCTGACGTTGGTTGATAAAAATTCAGGTTCAAGGAAGTAAATTAATTTATTAACGACGTTTCGAATGTAACAACATTCATTTTCAAGTTACAGGAAGCATTGAATACAGAAATTTTTGATGGAAATAAGTACATGATACAAGTAAATAGGATACAAAATGTATCCTATTTACTTGTATCCTATTTACTTGTATCATGTACTTATTTCCATCAAAAATTTCTGTATTCAATGCTTCCTGTAACTTGAAAATGAATGTTGTTACATTCGAAACGTCGTTAATAAATTAATTTACTTCCTTGAACCTGAATTTTTATCAACCAACGTCAGCTGAAGAATATTGTTCGATCCTGAAAATTTAAATCGATGATTTCTCTGGTCATTAACCACTCGTGTTTAAATATATATATATATATATATATATATGTGTTTTGGTATTTGCTAAGTGTGTGATTAGAATAAATTAAATAGTTTATAAAGTCATATAAAATAATATGGACGACCATAATGCAATAGGATAGGAATATTCGTCAACACTTAAGATCGATCTATTACGGATTCCATAATCATTCATCGGCTTACTTTGCAACCTTCACAGATTAGTTTCAACTCCGTTTAGATCGATTCAGATGATATAACCCATGATTGTTCACCTTAACTTATACAGGAAACCAAGCAATTCGTAATTTTGATAGAAAATTGAACGTGAAGGCAGTTGATATCGGATGAGTGACGACAATGTTGCCTACTTAGAAATAGAAGCAGAAGTTTGTCTCTATATGACTTTTTAGTTAATTACATCTCAGTCGAAATGAAAGAAAAGATTTATTCATAAACTTACGATAAGTTCTGTTAAATTTATTTTCTTTCAAGCATTTGTGCATAGTTTAACCATAAGGCGTTTTCTAACGGTCGATTCACTCAAATTAAGAGGAAAAATAAATCATCAAACGTTACTATTTGTGCACTCATTTTCTGTTATTTGTTATTGGGATTTTATAACTAGGGAAATAAGGTTAAGCACTGCCAGAAAAGATAGTCAGTTTTAATCATTTAACTACTTCTGTATTGATGAGCTGTAAATTAAATAACAATTTGCACTGAAATATTGCAGCTCGAAATAAATTGTACATGAGTGAGCTTAGTATAATTTTCATGGAACAAATATAGCTGTTAAGAGAGTTGTCTTAGATTCTCTTTGCTTGAGTTTTCTGGGCCTGCAGCTTGTAAAGACAGTGTGGTTGATTTGCCACTTGCTTGGTAGCCAGCATGCTAATAATATAGCAATATACAAATTTAAAAATTACCGTCAACGTCCGCAGTGATTGGAGCCGTCGATGCCGGAATAACGCCGTTCACTGCCGTCATCGTGCTTCACGCACCTATATAATATATGGGTGCTGAGGTGCCGACAAGCGGCCGTCTGCCGCCATACGGAGCCAAGCAACCAACATATATCACTGACCAACTGCAGGCACCTTCGAGCATGGCGGCAAACGGCACAAGCAAGCGCTTTTAGATTGCAGGGCCGTGACATGCTTTTGTTTACAGTGAGACAGCCTTCTACCACTTACCGCCCATATCTTACCTGGGTGACGGTTAATATTATGAACCATGTCGTGTCCCAGCAACGACGGTTCTAATAACGTCAAGAGGTGTTCAGATGAAATCGAACTGTTCTTATGGAAATTCCAAAAGTAAGATCTACTGTAGAATGTACGTCACAATGAATATTCCAATGAAAACTAATTGAGAAAGTAGTGTTTTGAAACTCAAACGAGACTTTAATAGGTCTCTCACCCACACTCTACACTGAACTGCGAAGTTTTTCACCTTCTCTACAAGAGTGGCAACCATTCCACCAACTGCTTCATCAAATGCCTCCTCAAACTAGTCATTACCTCTACGTTCCATTTTCCACCACGCACAAACCTCAATCGATATCTTCCAATGACGCACAGGCAGTCTGGAACTGGCACCTGCGGACTGTGTACTAAATACTCTCCTTGTGTATAGGCTTTCAGCCGGCAAAACTGGGAGCGTGAAAACTCGCAGCGAATACTCGCAGCTAATTCTAGCCCGTGATACCGCACCAAATGCTTACGCACTTCGGTATGCGTAGAAATGTCAACTGCACAGAACAGAAAATGCCGTATCGAGTCAAGTTGAAAGGTTAAAAAAATTATTACTAATGAAGCACTCCATATCCCTCCCACCATTAAACGTTTTGCTCGTGTTAGGCTCGCGAGTGTTTGTCTTTTCGATTGCACACAAATAATTCAGCTGCAGGGAGCCAAATTAACAGTGACTACGATATTTCTGCCACACGATTATCATCAAATTTTTTATTAAGCAGTAATAAATGAACTAATATTAGTACTTTCCACATTGATATGTTCAGATGGAATATGTCATATCGACTTGAGTTAGGAATTTTTAGTGCATTCCCAATTTCCAAAAAAGGCACATTGATCGTGAATAACCGCATCAAAAAAGTAATAAGTGATACGTAGATGAATGCGAGTGTAAATTACTGTTATTCATTTATGAAGTAATTTTTGCAAAAATTCCGGGCAAAATGTCGAGGCGCGTCTTCGCTGCAGCGACAGCGGCATCGAATCGATTCTTAGTTGCGAGTGAGCTAATGCGTACTATTGTTGGGTGCTTTGTCTGCCATGTTTCGCGTCACTGGCATTTCAGTAATAATTAAGTGCTGAAAAGTTATTGTACTAAAATAATTTAGCATTTAAGGATGTATATTCGTCAGGTAAGAAAACTGTGACTATTAGGCATTCAAACACATCAAATATTGTGAATTTGCTGGTGAGTAGGTAAATAACTAGTAATTGCTGTTCTCTAATCTGAGTTCTGAGCAGTCTCTACCGCAACTGACGAAAGTCTAGACTGTCTAGTTAATGCCTATACGTTCACCTGCTTCGTGAGTACTATGGGCTTGAACCGTAAAATGTAACGTATTTACCTTTTTAATTTTGTGCAGCTATTTTTTTAGGGCTCTAGTCGAACTTGCTGTAATATTTAGGTAGCTTCCTAGAGCCTAGAGGCTAGATGTGCATTATTTGCCAATGGCGTTGTTAATTGTTTTATTTCTAAATATTATTTATTTTTGACAGATAATCATTCAAGGATTCAAGAGCTATCGTGAGCAAACTGTCATCGAGCCTTTCGACTCCCGCCATAATGTCGTCGGTAAGATTTTTTCGATGTATTTTATTCAATATTTAGTCGATGTGACTCATGTGAGCTCCTCAGAGGCTCTGTTCAGGCAACAGAAGTCAGGACTCTGTCAGTGTCAGGGCATTGATGCTCTTTGCCTCTATTTAGGTATATCAAAAGAGGAGTAACAATTTCTTTTTCTTTGTGTATGATCAGAGTTCAGAGATTGCAGGGTTGGCGATTTTTTTTATTTTTTTTTTTTAAAATCAAAAAAATCAAAAATCAATGATTTTTTGATTTTTTCATGATTTTTTTTATTTATTTGATTTTTTTGATTTTTTCAACTTTTTTATCTTTTTGAATTTGAAGTGTTATTTTTTATGTTGCAATTAGCCTACTGACAATAACAGTATATGGATCATAATGGATGGCTAAAAAGGGCACTTATTGCCTTCGGCCCTTCAATAATGGCCAACAGGCCAAGGTAGTGTTTACCACTTAGGGATTTTTGGGTAAACAATTATTGGTAAGTCTATTCATTAGCTTTGTAAAGTTTGTATGGAGCAAGGTAATGAGCTAAATATTGACCATTTAACTGGCTTCAATATACAACACTTCAGGAATGCAGATTTTCTAAACATTGAAGAGGCACATAACAGATAAATAGCTGATCGCACAGTGCACAGCACTATCAATAGATCTACTAGTTTTATATCCTATAAATCTACCAGACTCTACCCTCTATACACACCTACTAGTAGTGACTGAGTGACTGACTGCACTGTTCCCATCTAATTCAGACCAATAAACCAATAAGTACTAAACATAAACTGAACGATAACCAAACAAACCTCATATGACTTGAAACAAGACTTAAGTTATGAGAAAATCTAATACTGTTTGAAATAAACATATGCACAATTCAAATATTTTATATCCATTCACTGCATTTAATCATTTTATATATATAGTCTTATAATTGTAATTGTCTTGTTTCTAGTTTTAAATTCACATATTTAAAGATTGAAATTAAATATTTTAATTAGAATAGGTACTTGTATTAGGGTGGAAAATCTTTCTAATTGCCTAAAAGGTCAATACAATCTCAACCTCTCAATATACAGGGTAGGGCAGAACCGATTGAGTAGTTTTGGGGTAAAATAAAAGAGTAATGGAGGTACATAAAGAAGAAAGTTTATTTTCCTAGAGGTTAGCATAACATATCATTTAGAATACTTATGTTTTGAAAACAATATGTAGAAGATGGGGGCCTTTATCAGCAACACACTGTTGGAGTAGTTCTCAGAGGAGGGAGTAACCGTAACAGTGAATTCTGATCGCTATGCTGTAATGTTGCAAAATTTCTTGCTGCCCATGATGGATGAAAACATTGTTGAAAATGAAGCATTGGGAGATGTGTGGTTACAGCAGGATGGGGTTACAGCTCACACAGCTCGAATGTCACTCAATGTTTTGAAATGCATGTTCCCAGACTCTGAGGGGTGATTTACAGTGGCCTGCGAGGTCACCTGATTTGAGCATTTGCGATTTCTTTCTTTGGGGACATCTAAAAGAAAGGGGTTCATAAGTCACCCTCACAGCCTACCACAGCTAAGGGAACGGATTATTGCAGCAGAGGTTATGGCCATACCTTGCCATATGTGTGAACGTGCTGTAGGAAACTTCCAAGAACGTGATGCAAAAGTGTGATGCAGCTAACAAACCCCACCTTCCTGATATTGTTTTCAAAACATAAGTATTTGAAATTGTATGTTATGCTAATCTTGAGGAAAATAAACTTTCTTCTTTATGTGCCTGCAGCCTCCATTACTTTTTTATTTTGCCTCAAAACTGTTCAATCAGTTCTGCCCCACCCTGTATAAGCTAGCTAACACATTTAAATTGTATATTGTAATCAATATATAACAAATAGTCAAATAGTTAAAGACTACATATAGCCTTATAAGAATTAGCTAAGCTGCTTGCTATGTACAATGTAATGCACACTTGATGCCTCTGTACCAAAAACATTCCATTTATTGGAACCTAATACACACTAAAGGCAACAAGTTTATAAACCAATTTGTCATTCATAGTACATTTATACTAAACCATGAATAACAATACCTCAATATAAATAAAAGACTGCCACTCAATATATTTAAATATATGAAAAAATCAAAAAAATAAAAAAAATCATGATTTTTTTATAAAAAAATCAAGTGATTTAATCACATGATTTAATCATTTTGATTTAATCATTGCCAACCCTGAGAGATTGACTTTGAGTCTGTTAGTGTTATCCCAGAAATCAGAATCATATTAAATTTGGGAATCCTTTTTTCAAGCCTATTTAGCCTTTTAGGAATATTAAGTAGAAGTTTCCTAAACTTGCGGGTAAAAACAATCATTTCATAGGTGATTTTCAGAAATTGCAGGTAAATCCAGACCAATTTTCTCATTTTATATCAGGAATTGAGAATTTGGAGAATGCCATTGCCATATGTACAGGCCCAAGTGGCAGAAGACACTAATTCAATTTCAACTGTTCCTATGACCTTTTCCTTTTTTTTATTGCTTATTGTTTTGCTCGCAATAGTTGAAAATCACCTATAAAACAATTGTTTTTACCCACAAGCCACCATGTTGAAAAGAATGAGAATTTCTGCCTAACATTAGGCCTAGTAGGCTAGTACATAATGGTAAACAGGTTGAACTTGATTAGCCAGTTTTTGTTCTGATTTACTGGCATGGAGCGATGATGGTGGCATTTCTGTCCAATTTAAAATTAGCTCCTGCTAAATTTTCCTCTTTGGTTGTCAAGCTGTAAAAAGCCAATTTTAATTATGCTACAAATTCATTTGCTGAGCTGCATCATGCATGCAAATATGCCAAATCTCTTATTTTACTTTAATAACTCCTGTATCAGCAACCAAAATAGTTAAATTCACTATTGAGGCCATTTAGTACTATATAAAATGTTTTTATGTACAGTATTTGTTAAAGAAATGTTTCATATGTATGTTCAATATTCAGAAATAATTGTATAAATTTTATTGCAGTCTGTCATGACTGATGCCCAATCTTGCATGTCAGGCAAATTTTTTTTTTCAAAAATTGATGGTTAAAATGATCATGGATATTTATTGGAAATTGCAGGCAAAGGGGGTGCAGCCATAGGCCATAAATGTTACTCTTAAATAACCCCTGGAGCCAACACCCAGCTTCAAGATGCATCAACTTTACTAGCTTTAAAGCTAGAAGCGGCAGACTATGCTTGATTTCCATTATCCAGACAAGCAACACACTGGCAAAAGATAATAGTGCCATAGCCCTAACAAAATTCGGGGACCGCCTAGGCTTCGGCCGAATAGTCACTACACTCGGCGCAAGTTATTCTGGGTCAGTTGGCCAACTGATCGCAATCAGCGTCTAGTCAGAACCTCCTGGCCGACTTTATGGTCTCCTGAGAGTAGGGCAAGAGTTGGCAGAATCCCCTCAGTCCCCTCACCAGGCTCTGGTAGCGGTCTGATTCGGGGGCCGGAATGTAGACCAAAAAGCGGACATAGAGAAGCTGATTTACGTTCGGTCCGAGTCATAGGCGGTCCCTAATTCAGGCTTGCCAGGCTCGCCAAATTTTGATAGGGAGGTCTTCAGCCAATGCTTAAGCACATTTGCTCATATGCAGGCAATTCCTCATCTGGCTGTACTTACTCTGGCCTAACCTCTTCTAGCTTAACCTATTTATGCTGTCTGAGCTGACAACCTTCTTGCAGCCAATGACTGGCTTTACCAGTATGCTTGGACTGCCTTTGTAACTTTCTGCAGCCAATGAGGTTATGTTAGGTCTGCAAGCTTCATATCAGCAATGGTATAGCATTTCTTCTGTATCTGTAAGCTTACAGAGCTGAACTTGTAATTTTGCACCATGTCAATTGGGTCAAGTGAATTCACTGTAACACACACAAAAAAAATATATATAATAAACATACCTGAAACAGAAAGGAATATTTCAGTGACAACCATCTTATTTGTTGAAGAAATAAATCATAGTTTAGGTTAATTACTTTTCATTCTATGTTGCCCGACTCATAATTTTATCTATGAAATTCTATGCACAATTTTGTGATGACGCATTAATTTTTGTCAAGTGAATTTTTTTGCCGAGTGAGCCTCAGTGAGGTAAATGTACTCAAATTATTACCCAGTCATACGGAAATGGCTGCCATGTGGAAGTTTTAAAGCCCACATCTGTCTTCAACTTTTTTTCAAGAAATTTTTTTTATACGGTAAATATTTTTTTTACTGCAGACCAAAGCAGTACTTTTTCAAAATATCACTTTTCAACATTTTTTCTGAGGGATTTTTTAGAGCTAGTAAATGTATGATTTCTCAACTTCCTTTATGCCATATAGATAGGAAAAATGTGGAAGTTTATGGTACTATTTTTAGTTTTGCAATATTTCAATTAGTTTTGCAGCTAACATTTTTATGCCGTGGCGGAAGACTGTCCCGATTTACTCCACCCGTCCCTTATTACCCTGTTTCACAGTAATAGGTCATATATGCCAAGAAATGTTTCTATGACCAAATCACGATGATTTTAGATGTTCGCTCTCCACCGCTAAAGTACTTGAAGCTGGGGATCTGAACTTCATGATAGCTACTGATTTGAGTCTTGCCGTAAGCCTGTAACACAATTGCAAAAAAGGAAGTTAGTGCTGAAGTGAGACAGAAAGCTAGAACAGTATCTACTAATTGCTATCCCAGTGCTTGGAATCCATATCACTGCTTATCTTGCTTTTTACAGTGACATTCAGTTTCTGTGCGAGCTTAGGCAACTTTCGGATGTCTGGTAGTACCTATTTATCTTCACAATTCATAACAATACAAAAAAATCAACTTTAGCCATATTGGAACAGGATTTATTTAATACTTTTTCTTTTTTGTACCCACTCGTTATTTCAGGCTTGATTTCAACTTCTAAGATTCTTATGATTCAATTGCATGATATTTGTATAAGTTTTTCAGAGCATTATTGTCAAGTGTGTGCCATATATGACACACATCGCTTTTTGGGACATGCATGTGTGTACCATATATGGCGCATGTCACAGTCAATGTGTTAATTCTTCATATTCATGTGGTGTGAATAATATCTACTGTCTAGTATGTTACTTGAGCTCTCATGCTGTTTATGCAGCTTCAAGATTTACACTGAATATATTATATTTCTCTAAACTATTTGTTAACAAAACTTCATGATTGACATGGAACATTTCCAACATACTACCTACTCAAAATATATTACTTGGAAGAAGCTACACTTCATTGAAAAGTTCTAATTTTCTTTCTTATGTTTATCTTGGGGGCTAATCATTGCTTATTAGGAAATCAAAGTTCTGGGTAAATAGGTTTTTCTCATCTAAAATTGTGTTATTATCCCCCACTATTTAGAGAAAAAACTTTCAAGCATGTTTGTGAGGGCTTGATAAGAAATATCTTTGTGAGAAATGTTGAAGATGATGCTTGCCTGTCTTCAAATGCATAATTTTGTAAACAAATTGAAGTGGGGTTTTACCAGAGGACATCTCTATAATAGTACCTACTACCAATATTTTTTAATATGTTGAATCTTGAGTCAAAATTATTAAACAGTAACAATTTATTTTTCTCTTGTGCAGTTGGGCGCAATGGTTCAGGCAAGAGCAATTTCTTCTATGGTGAGCATTAGTATCTATTCTGTTCTAGTTTTTACACTCATTAATGATCAGTAGTTTTACAACAAAATCATGTTTTATTCATGATGTCTCTTCAAAAGTGCTGTAACTGATTGTATTGAAACTTGGATCAGTATACGGTATGTAGTTTGAGGCATTTAGTCTCATAATTTCTCTTACCATATCAATTGTTGCATGTGTAACTATTGTTTTTGTGTTATATGTATACATATATTCTTCTTTCAAATGCAGCAATTAATTGTGTGCTCTTGTGTTACTAAGTAAAGCACAGATTTGCTGTTGACATCTATAGTATTATGGTATTTGAAGAAGAATTTTTATGGCATGCTGAAACAAAGTTTGGAATCTATGATAGGTATGTGGGCATAGAGATGAGTTTCAAGCTTTCATCCTGATTCTCAATTGCCTGAAAATTTTCTGTCAGGATAAGAGTGACATTCTTTAACTGCAGCTGTCCAGCTGAAAGGAAAATAAAGGTCAACTTATGACTCAATTTGGGTACATATGGGAATTATACATTCCCTTGTCTAATTTGACAATGTGTTTCTTGCAAACATTTGTATTGTGTACGGCAATCCATTATTATACAGTGGGGGGAAATAAATATTCGTACACTTGAAAAATCGTATTTTAATGTATGTAAGTACACAAACTTAACAGGAAAAGTGATTTAAATTAGTGCTACATGTTTCTAGTACATTCTGGAATGTTCTGGTGTGAAATATTAGTCAAAAGTTGTTTTGTACGAATACTTTTTTGACCCGAAGAAGTTAACATGTTGCATTAATTTTTGTTGCATTAAGATTTAATTTCTATTGATGCTATTTTTTAATACAATGTGCCTCTATACATAATATAAATCACTTCTCCTGTTCAGTTTGTGTACTTACATACATTAAAATACGATTTTTCAAGTGTACGAATATTTATTTCCCCCCACTGTATATGTAAATTTTTACCAAATCAAGGTTTTCTTCTGTATTTTGAGCTGCAGGTGAGCTTTTTGCTAATTGGTTGTATTGGCCTTTAGATGACTTGTACCACTGAACCAGTAGTGAGGACACAATGTGTTTTCAATTAGGCAAATCTTATACACTGATTACTCATTCAAATGTGTTAGTGGTTTTACAAGAGTAAAATTTGACTTCAGAACAGTTGCAAATCTGATTTTAAAATCCCGTGAATACTCTTGATAGGTTTAGCATGTATGATAATTATAACTTGAGGTAAATATTATTGTTTGGAATGCTAATATAATTTCTCTATTGCAGCGATCCAGTTCGTGCTGTCAGATGAGTTTTCCCACCTTCGGGCTGAACAGCGCCAGGCCTTGCTACATGAGGGCACGGGGCCTAGAGTTATCACGGCCTTTGTCGAGATAATATTTGATAATTCTGATGGCAGAATACCAGTGAGTTTAGCACAGATGGCCTATATTTTCTAATGCAATAAGTACATTAATCGGTTGTAGGCTTCAATAATCCTGTCTATTTATTGGTACGTAACATGGGCCTAGTTCAAAGCCTTCTTCTGTAATTTTAGCTTAGACTAAGAGGGAACACTTCCATTGGTGTTTTAAATAATTTTTCTCTTATTATGAATCCATAGGCATGTCTAATAATTTTTTGTGCTGTTCATATTTAGAAAAAGAATTAAAATCTTGTCATTTGAGCTGTATAATAATAATTTTTCTACGAAGATATTACTGCAGAAAATGATGAAGCTCACTCTTGCATGCAATACCTAGATGAAATCCAATTATTTAATAATTTTCAGATTGACAAAAATGATGTGTGCCTACGTCGAGTGATCGGTGCCAAAAAAGACACTTACTTCTTGAATCGGAAAGCAGTCACCAAGCTTGACGTAATGAACCTGCTGGAGTCGGCGGGCTTCTCGCGCTCGAACCCTTACTACATCGTGAAGCAAGGCAAGATTAACCAGATGGCCACGGCACCAGACTCGCACCGCATCAAGCTGCTCAGAGAGGTGGCCGGCACACGGGTCTATGACGAGCGCCGCGAGGAGTCTAAAGGCATCCTTAAAGGTAATGGCTTGTTCATCATATGTTTTTTGAGTTGTAACAAACTCGTTAATATGATGGCCTTCATTGTTGCTTGTTTGGTCATCACTTGAAATTGCAAGGCAAGCGAATTGCAGCAGGCTTATTTTTCATGTTGCCTGGATCGCTTTTGGGAAAATGAATTAATTAATGGTCGAGTTTAGACAAACTAGTTTTTCATCTCCATATTTTGGTTCATAGTCGATTTTTGGTTTTTATTCACTAAGTTGTTATTATGCATTCCTTAGGTTCACATTTTTTTTACAGTTTGAAATTTTGTTCTATCGATTGCAACATTCCTGCAAGTATTGTCAGGAAGTGACGGAATATACCGGTATAGTGACATTTTTAAATTGCTTGACTATATCATATTTTTATTTAATTCATGTCATATTGTTGTAATTAAGTTACGAAAGCTAATTGGGTTAAATTTTTAATTACAGAAACTGAAAGTAAGCGAGAGAAAATAGAGGAATTTCTACGGACCATTGAGGAGCGACTTACTACGTTGGAAGAAGAGAAAGAAGAACTCAAAGAGTATCAGAAATATGACAAAATGAGGCGCTCTCTTGAGTACACCATCCACGACCGAGAGCTCAAGGAAACCAGGAAGAAGCTGGATGATGTGAGTGACTCGCGTTAGCAACACTATCACTTATCACGCCCTCAGTCTTAACATTACATACTGCCGAACTGGTCAAGCGCAATGCTTACTCTTATCGCGCCATCATTCCTTAACTGGCCAAATGCAATACTGTCTATTTCGTCATAAGATAATCTTTTCACATAATTGGTCAAACGCAATACTAGCTTCTGTCACGCCCTCATCTCTTAACAAACCTAACTGGTCAAGTTAATGCTATTCCCTCTTGACACTTTTATAACCTGCAGTATAGAGTTTTTGTTCCTTATTCTCACTGTTGGCTGGCTGTATATAATGCCTATTTTTAATTGTTTTAAACTAGGATATTAGCTTCTTTGTTCAAATTGCCACCATAAAAAAAAAAGTTGCGCAAAGTGAATATGTCTTTCATTGTTTATTTTGTTCTAGTGTTTGAAAATAGTGTTCCAGTGTTTTTGGGTATCAATCAATGTTCACCAGCGTGTTTAGTGCGTATGAAAACGTTCTCCTCGATGCAGATGGAAAACCAGCGGAAGAACTCAGGGGCTGAGCAGGAGAAGCAGCGCCAGGCCCTGCAGAAGGCACAGGATGCCATTAAGAACGCCACCAAAGACATGAAGGACATCAAGCAGAAGCTCACACAGGTCATAAATCTCCAAATTTATTCAATATTTTGCCCTCGGGCTTACAGTTGAAATAAGTGAGCCTGAATTAAGTATTTATGTGATATCGTCGACAGTATTTTTAAAGATGAATCAATTTAGGCAATTTCAAAGCTTCTAAATATTATATGTCATGGTTGCTGCAGAGTTCCGCAATATGATCTAGTGCTTGCAGCTTCAACTGGTCATAAGTAAATTACAAGCTGGGCTGATTGATAACAAATAGATTATAGAATATACGAGTTGAATATTAAAATTTCTAAGGCATGAATTTGTAAACCGACCAAACCTATTATGTTGAAACATCTAATTAGATTAAAAAAGTTTCTATTAATTAATCATTATATGAACAATTTATATAATACTTGCATCTCACGTTGTTTTATTTTATAATGAATAATATTTTCTATAATTTAGTAACACAAATGCAGCTATCAAGTATAATAAATATCAATATTCTATCGTGTAGGTACGAGAAGAGCGAGACACGTACAACATGGAGCAGCAGCAGCTGCTGAAGGAGAAGACCCGCCTGGAGCTCATGATAAAGGACCTGAGTGATGAGGTTCAGGGGGACAACAAGAGCAAGGAGCGTGCGGAGAAAGAGCTTGAGAAGCTCAGGGCCACCATCGCCCTCAAGGAAGCTGAACTTGAAAGCATCAGACCAAAATATGAGGAGATGAAGAGACGTGAAGATGCTGCACAGCGCGAGTGAGGCTCTTCACTGGGAATACTTGATCTGACGTTTTGACTAACAAATTTTAGTGATTATTTTGCTGTTGTTGATTTTAGTTAGAACTTTTGAGTTATGTTAGCAACACGTGACGAATGTTTTGCAAGTTATTTGGTTAGTTTATGGCAACAACTGGGATATAGGGAAATTTGGTTGATCATTTAATGAGACTCCATTGAAGGTTTGCTTGTAGGTATACTATACTTTGGAAATTGTATTTGTGAATGAAGTCTGGTGAAAGTTCTTGTGGTATTCAATGAATTGTCAAGTCACTGCTCCATGTTATGTCCATGGGAGTGATTTTTGATGAGTGATGATTGCAAGACTAGCCTTCAATATTATTCAGTCTATTCTCGTAATAATTAATTCATTAGAAAACTCGACTGTAAAAAACTCGACTGTTTGATGGTACCCCAAATTATGAAGTTTCCATTAATACTCGTCTAAGTGATAGCTGTTAGGTTTTTCGACATCTCAAATGAAATAAATTGTAGTGTGTTTTTTCTTCAAACTTCTCTTCTTTACCAAATACCTTAAATATGAAGTAAGCATTGAGATTATTTGCAGGCTGTCCCTGAAGGACCAGAAGCGCAAGGAGCTGTACGCCAAGCAGGGCCGCGGCAGTCAGTTCACCTCGAAGGAGCAGCGCGATCAGTGGATCCAGAAGGAGCTCAGGTCAGACTTGTCCGTCATGGGTAACAGGGTTGAGCTCTTCTCAGAATAAGATAGGCGTATACAATACGTATAAATTGACAATAAGTATGCCTTTGTGTATACACTTGTGTTATATGGGTTCATGAAACAGGTTGATATTTTGAGAGTAAATGCTAATTGTCCTGTAACTGAGTTAGTGCTCGTAGGCCGGATATGTTGAATGCAGTATATACTCGACTTAGATTATGTGTGATCAAGTTATCATTTTATTCAAATTTTTTCCCTCGTTAGTATTCATTACTGGAATATATATAAATATTGGTTAGGTTTCTATTGGAAATCATAATGATTGCTTGAAAGCTTTGTACAAAATTTTATTTGCAATCCTTCGAACATATTTGGTTTCATTATATCGGGTATATTTTAAATGTTTAGCAGGAATGAACAATGAGAGAAAACTATTTTGCTTTCTGATATGAATATCCTGCTTTAAAACTGTATTGAAGCAATTTGTATCCTTCTCGACTGACTTATTTTGAAAAAAAGTATAGAGATGCACTATTTTTTAAATGGCACTAGAAGCTCTTTCAACAAGTCCTGCTCCTTTACTATGCAAGATACGTCACTACATGCAGCCCATTTAGTTCGCCTCTTTTCTCAATGTCTTCAAACTTCTTACTGACTTGACCTTCAAACCGTGCTGTTTTTCACTCTTTGCTAATCCAAATGCTAGAGTTTTTCTTGCCTTAAATCCTGCTAACGTGAAGCACTTGATACCTAAAATATGGCTCGAGTTTTTTGTGTGATCGTCTCTAAGCATGAATTTGGGACTTGATTATTTCTGACAATTTTTTCTTGCTAGTCGCTCCACCGGGCACATTTGGCTTTCTCTTACAACACTTGAGATGAGATTTTTAAAACTTCATCTTGGTGGGAGGTCACCTTCACTCCACTTGGCTGCTGTAATTTATTAGACGTAACTCTGATTTCATATCTATTAACTTAATTTAATGATTGAATTAGTTGCCTCTTTTCATTTTCGATCAATTCAATTTGTGGTTCAAATAATTTCATTCTTAACCTAGAGTTCTTTACTCCCCAATTGATCGTAGACTGTACTTTGTTTTTGATTGTCAGTCAATCGTGATTGGATAGTAACGTTTCACATTAATTTGTTCATATCAATTAATTCTGTATGTAGTTCAAAATATGTAAGAGAAATTCTTTACAAAGCTCCGCCTTGACATTCCTTTTTTTATCAACAGCCTTCTCTGTTATTCACCTTAAAAACTGATAGCTCTGACCTCAGGATATTTTCTGAGTCTAGAACCCTCATTTCACTACTAACCTTCCTTATCATCGTGTTCCGCTTCTCTTCATTATTCATTATAGGCTTGCGAAGGCCGTAGCACAAGCATCACCTCACAAACACCTGAATACCTTCACAAACCTGGTGAAGGTATCCAGCGTAGGTATAGACAAGTGGTTCCCAGCCTGTGATACGCGCATCATTGTTGGTACACAAATATTTTTGGGGTGACGTACAATTTTTTGCCACTTTTTACTCGATTAAAAATATTCTGCCTAATCTGGCAATGATATGCAACCATTTGTTCTCAAGGGTTTATCGTTTTAAGTTACGTACTACTCGTGAGCTCTGAATAAATTAAAATTTGACTTGTAATAAGTATTAGTGGCCTATGTGTTTTATGAGTGGTACTCGGTTGTACCTGGAGGTGCGCGGCTACTGTTCATTGGGCCTTCAAAATTCGATCATGGAAAGTTTGGGAACCACTGATATAGACAAACGTCAGGTAAAGAAACCCAGTGTAAGGCAGTTATGTAGGCAAGGTTATCGTGGAATCATTGCAAGTCAATATCTCATCACCAGTGGTAGTTTATTTTTCAGGTATTCCTGGAGAGAAATCGCATTCAATTTGATTCTTACTCAGCCTAATGAGTAGTGTAACTGCTTGTTGGACCGGCATTGCTTTCACCTTAACTGAACTTGACTTTTCTACACATTTCTTGCTTCACTCCCATTTACCTGGTAACCAAGGGTTGGAGAAAGGGACTAGTATCACGACGAACAATTTGCCCGTTACTAGAGCGAAAACTGCTACTTGACTTGGTGGCGATTATTAAAAGCAGTGCTGCGATGTCAGAGCACGCATTCCACCACTGGTTTTACAAGCAGCTCTTGAGTAATTCATGTCAGAGAACAATTTTGTGGCTATGGTTGACAGTCCCTTTCTTCTCCCTTGTTTGCAGATCAATAGACCGTGCCATGGTTGAAAAGAGTGATCAGATAACCAAGCTAGAGGAGGAGATAGAGCGGGATCGTAGGCGAGCTCTTGATCTCGAGGATAAGTTGAAGGTTAGTAGACCATGTAGATCACTTTGCTGCCCATTCAGTCTTGATCAATTTTCAAAGTTGAACTTGATGCCATTTGAAACAACTCTCCAAGATCATCGTCGACAACAGGCTCCCTTTTCTGCTCAGTTCTTCTGATCTTGCATTTGGTATCAGTTTTATCCTTCATTTGTGTTTCTTTCATCATGCTATTGGTTTCAGATCCTGCCGATTTTATGAGTGTTAACGCCGAGTTGCTGCATGATTTTATCAAATGTTATCCGAGGCCGAGGTCTCTTGCTAATGCTTTCCTGATTACCAGATTTTTATTGAGTTTGAAATTAACAAAAAAAAATTATTGTCGATGTGCCAAAAGCTGTGCTTCAAACTCGAGTTAAAAATTGTTTGATTTGGAGTATAATGACATAGCATTTTTGGGTATGCGATTTTCCCTACTTTATGAAATTGTCCTTCATTTATGGCAATATTTAATGTTGGCCAGAAGCATGCCCGGTGAATGAATTCACTGCCCGTTTATTTTAATGTCAAACTAATTTGATATTCACGAATTTTCAATTTGAATTTCAGTTCCCAGAACGCATCCCCTGCTGAAACGGTCTGTGGGATAATGTAACTCATGCTTTCTGCTTGCGTGTTAGTCGGATTCTTTGAGAAAATGTTTGCCTGTTAACTCCGAAAAACGGGCTGGCTTTCTTACTCCGAAAATCCATCACTTGAACTTCATTTTCTCACCTTCATTTGTAGGTTAAGATTGCGAGCAGCTTGCCGTATTTCATGGATTTTGTTGCACGTCATTATGTCGCTGCGAGTTGCCCTTGCTTATCTGTCCCTCCTTTATACCCTCATATATTGCTTTACTTTCCAAACATTAGACGGACTATTTGACCAATGCCTAATTTTCCCTAAATTATGTCTTCAGCATTACTGAATCTTTTTCATATGTACCATCGTCTTGTGTTCTCTAATATTTTTCCTCTCAAATATCCTACACATCAGTGTTGCACGCAGCGAGTTAACCTAGTGTTGCAATATTAAGGTCACTCAGTAAAGCTGTCAAGTCGAAGCTTGAACAAATTGCTCGGTTGGAGGAGGAGATCACCACGGATGCTGAGAGGAAGATTTTGCTCGAGACTAAGGTCGAGGTAATGAACGTCTTCTTCCTCGGCCATCACACCCCTTCGCTGCTTTTGTCTCCCCCAATGATTAATTAACATATGCATAGTTTAAGATGAACTTTATTGTTATAGTCCCTTGTCAATCAATATCTTGTTAGGTATGAATTAGATCATTGTGGTTATTGTACGGTTATCCCCTGATTTCTTTACTACTGAAAAATGACTGCTCGATAACATTATGGTGTTTCATGTTGAGATTCAAGTTTGTATAGTAGTAATCAATATAGCAGTACACATCACCTGCATTTTTCATCCCCGAGTACCTACTCAAGTTGATGCATTTATTAAGCGATATTCTTAGGTTGATACATTTAACAAGCGATAGTAGTAGGATTACAATTTCTTTCCATTCTATGTCAAATTAGTTTGGTTTTATGCTATGCAAACGTTGACAGAAACGACTTTTTCCAATCATATTTCAAAATTACGGATAAGAGAAAACTGTCTCACAATTGATCGCGATGTGTTCAAGACCATTTGTACCTAGTACTAATAGATGGATATCCGTTATTCATGATCGGTGACAATTGTTTTAGCGTGGCTAGTGGCTAGGAATGTATTAAATATTTGTAAGACAAATAACCATCAGAGATTTTTTTCCTCAGCACTGCAGATGCGAGCTGGTCTACATTTACTCACATGGAATTTACACGTGCAGGAACTGTCCGTTCAGACTGAAAGCTATCGTGGTAACATAGACGAGTATAACAAGGTCTTCTATGAAATGAAGAAACGAAAGGATCAGCTGCAGAGCGAGAGAAAGTAAGCGCTTTCTTGCTCTTGCATCAGTATAACATATTAACTACTCCTGCATTAATCAAACCATTAATAATCTTACAGCATCTAATCCTTCATGTTAATATGTGGTGATTTAATATATGCCTGGTTAATCCTAAGTTCTTGAACCTCTGCTGCTCATGCTGTTCTCGCACCGTCATTCCTCACGCATCCTGCCTGTGGTATTCTACAACCTTGCATAATTAATTTTACTTGTCTTACGATTTATAATTTTTGTAAATTTTTCATTGAATGTCGATTTATTAGGTTGCATCATTCTTGCGGTTGCGTAGCTTATAAACACCCGCGTTCCAGAAATGAATCAGGAGAATGAAGACAGTGACAATGTATCCTGATTTCATTATGGGTAGCTGTATTCATTTTTTTTTGCATCTCTCATTAATATTTTCCAGAATCTCCACCGTCCTTTTTTTAGTATTCGTCACTTGATTGATGATATAATAATTCCAATAATTACTTATCGATACAACAGCAAGTTACTCGTCCTGGTAATTTACCTTGACGAACATTAATTCGTATTGATTTCGTGCTTGTGGTCTGTGGTTTGCATGAAAATGTGTGTGGTAAAATGTCATTCACAATGAATTTTCTAAAGTCTGATCACTAAAGTCGGTAATTTTTTTACTTGACTGCATTCAAATATATTAATATGCCTCTTACTTGTCCTATAACCATGCTCCTCTTTAATATTTGCAAATCCTCCTCCTGCAACTTAAATTGATAACCATGCACCTTTTTAATATCTAGCCGTGCACCTTTTAAATGAATAACCTTGCACTTTTTAAAATATAGCAATGCACCCTTGTAACAGATGATCATTTGGCTCTGTACTCTTGTATTGCTCCCTGCTCCTACTTAATCTTTAATGCATAGTGACTATCCGTTTATTATCTCACTTGAATGTACCACTACGAACATGCAATCTTCGTGGCGCACACTAGTTATGTGGGTCATAGCTGAGCTACTTGTCGATTTTCCATCTCACACCTTGTCGACCATGCCATATTCTTGTGATGGATTTCCATAGCAGCGATGTTTTTTTTTGTTTGCCGTATGTCAGGATCTGATTTCTCAGCCAGTCATTATGAGGCCAGCATCCTGCATCTTTTGCTTGATTTAGACATAGACGTTTTTCTACCAACATCATATTGGTTTTTCTACGTTGCTAATTCCCTATATTTTATAATAAATTATGACTCTTGCTTTACTAATAAATTTTACTTTTTCATACCCGCGTATCACCGTGGTTATAAAGCCGCTTTGTTTATTCGTTTTGAATATTTAACTTGTGTGCGGACGCGGTAGTGTGCCGAACATGAGCGCGATATCCTGCCGGGGAAAGTGGTCGAGGGTAACGCCACCTGCCTGCGGCTCAAGACAGAGAAGGACCATCTCGCTAGAGACATAGAGTGGGCCTTGCCAGTTGTTACACGTTCAGTTCTCTATTTTTCAATGTATCATGAAGTTTACTAATATCGTTCATGGTTTAAAAGTTATTTCATTCCTGTTCGTTATCGTTGATGGCTGAAACCTGGATAAAATCGCATTGTTCGAAATTTCATTTGTAATATCCATTAATGATTTATTTATTTGGGAAATTTTTAATGTAATTTTTTATTTAGTGAATTGCTTATTCCTGTTCACGCTTGCTTATGTAGAATTTGTGCTCGCATTAGTAGATGAGTCAATCGTTCACTTGCCTGCCTTGCATGCAGGTACGGTACCAATCTGGCATGTTTAGTAAGCTTCAATATTATTGGTTGTGTTTTTTTTTTTGCGAAATATTAATGTTCTCACTATTAATGCTTCCGTTTCTTTGTACTATTGACAATGAAAATAAATGATAGAAAATTAAGCTCTGTTTTTTGTAAAATTTTCTTGATTCCTGAGAATGTACTAGTATATATTTTCGTTAATTCGTTGCGGCGAGCGTCTTTAGTGAAGATTTCGAGGGTTCCAGTACTGCTTATTTGTGTTCGCTTCATTATTTACCTTTTTTTCGTAAATAGGTACGTATTTTTTTAGCGATGTTTCAGTATTCGCAAATATATGTAACCACGTTCAAGAAGAATCGAAATAAGCCGAAATTCAAACGACTAACTTCTCTATCTTCTCATTCATCTGACATTATGCCTCTCATCTAACTAATTTAGATACTCGAATTATTCATTTTTCTACTGACGCCGATAAAATATTTTTTGTGCATGTTTAATTACTAATCATATTTAATTAATTTTTTGGCATGCTGATTTATTTAATTATTTTTATTGACATGTGCTCTAGTATGTGGTCATTTGTAGCCACGTTACTACGCTTCTGAGTGATATGTAGGTAGTTGCGTCGAAAATCTATTTATAGTTCATTTTTGTTTATAGTTTTTTTATTTATAGTTCATCCCTTGCGGTACGCTTACTATTGACAAGTTCTTAACCTGTAGTGCAGTGAAGAACCTTCAGTCGATGCACTCATATCTCATTATCAAACTCATTTCAGCAAGTTGATTTCAGTTCTAGTTTACACGTGATTTTCAAAACCAGAAGTCGATAAATACAATATTTTTTATTAACTCTTAACAACTACAATTAATCAAGAATTTTCATCGTTACAATATACGTGAAAATTAATGTTGGAATATTTTTGTGGTAGCCAATTCGTCATATACTAACTTGTCTGGTTTCTCGCGGTCGCTGTGAAATTTGTATTGATACAGTCTATTATCCACGTCTAATAATTTGTTTCACTACTTGCTAGCGAGCACTGGAGACAGGAGAACAACCTACAACAAAACCTAAGCACCCTCAAGGAGGACTTGTCCAAGGCGGACCAGCAGCTCCGCTCCATGGCCGGCAAGGTGAGGCTGTCGAGATGTGGCCAATCCTGTGTGAGGCAGAGCAATAGGTTCATGATGTCCTTGCTTCAGACAGTTTAAAATTAATTCATTTTTTGTAAAAAATGATTAAAGAAAGTCTTGAATGCTTCAGTTAACTTGAGGCTACATTTTCCAGACTACGCCGCAATAATACAAGATCAATCTTAACTTAGTCCTAATTCATGAGAGCAGTTGTTCTCGAGATTTTTATATGGCATGTGGCACCAAGAGTAGGCTATTATGTTCATTATTCACATCTTGCGACGATAAAGAAAATTGCCAAATTGAATGATTGAAATTCAAGTTTTAACTGTAGAATAGAATGCAAGACTGGAGATTTCCACGCCTCAACTGCTTCTCTAATCCAATGTTGGTCTTTGTAGCCCATCTTGAACGGGCGTGACAGCGTCCAGAAGGTACTGGACACTTTCAGGGAGCGCGGAGGACATCTCGCTGAGATCGTCCCTCAATATTTCGGTCTACTCATCGAAAACTTCGAGTGCGAGCGCAGCATCTATACGGCAGTTGAAGTGACTGCCGGCAGCAGGTCAGTTCTGGCGAACAAACCAAACCTTGATTTATGACATTGAAAATGTAATTTAATCTGTTTTGTTATTTCGTTAACGTACTCGTATATTGGTCTCTTTTAAGGCCAAGAATCCAGTTTATGGAGTTTTGAATCTTGCTTGCTCCTCACGAAACAATGCCGGTACAATAAACGCTGATTTAGAATTACTTGTTATTTACTGTTTGATGATTGCATCTTTCTGTCGATTTTTCTGTGTGTTGTCTGATGGCTGCTCAATATTTTAATCTAGAACATGACTTATGCAAATGTATGAAATAATTGTGTAATAAATACTCACGCGTCGCGCTGGAATAACGATGAAAATATTTTCCAGGCTGTTTCATCACATCGTGGAATCGGACCGGGTTGGTACGCAGATCCTAAAAGAAATGAACAAGCAAAAACTGCCCGGCGAAGTGACATTCATGCCTCTCAACCGACTCACTGTAAAAGAAATCGAGTATCCCCAAACAAATGTGAGTATATTATATTTTTTAAGCGCAATTTTTTATTCTGCTCCATTGCCGCTTGGTGCTTTTTATTAACTCTTTGACATTTCGAAGAACTTGAATCTCCTTTTCCTCATTCGAATGTCTTCATATAAAGTTTAGCTTTGTTTTTTTCAGTCACCAGAGTTTTCCAACCCTAACAAAATTCGGGGACCGCCTAGGCTTCGGCCGAATAGTCACTACACTCGGCACAAAGTTATTCTGGGTCTGGTTGGCCAACTGATCGCAATCAGCGACTAGTCAGAACCTCCTGGCTGACTTTATGATCTCCTGATAGTAGGGCAAGAGTTGGCAGAATCCCCTCAGTCCCCTCGCTAGGCTCTGGTAGCTGTCTGATTCGGGGGCCGGAATGAAGACCAAAAAGCGGACATAGAGAAGCTGATTTACGTTCGGTCCGAGTCCTAGGCGGTTCCTAATTCAGGCTCGCCACCAACTAAAAATTTTGATAGGGAAGACCAGCTACTGTTGAAACATCGTGAATGCAAACAAGCTTTATCGTGCAATCTATTCTTGATAATTATTTCATGACTGACTTTGTGGCATGTCGTACAGCTGATATTTAAAAGACCTCGACGATGCCGACGACCTTTAATTTCTAGATTTCGAACGTTGAAATAATTGTATTTTATTTATTTTCAATATCATTCTGCGCTTACTTATATACTTGATTATTCAATCTTCTCAATGCTACCTAGAACTATTTTGTTAGAATTTTCTTTCGTTACTTTCTATGTCTTATCAAGGTATATTATCCTCGCAGGATGCCATCCCAATGGTGAGCAAGTTGACGTACAGCGAGCGCTACACCAAAGCCCTGCGCTACATTTTCGGTCGCACGCTCATCTGCCGTAACCTGGAGGTGGCCACCAACCTTGCTCGCTCCACCAAACTTGACTGCGTTACGCTTGACGGAGATCAGGTGCGTCATTTGTTGATGTAACAGTTGGATTAAAATTGTTCATCCTCTATGTCGATACTCCCGTATGCTTTATTTACTTATTGAATCAAATAACGCGAGCTCACGTTTTATTTGTTAAATAAAGTTAATCAGAAGTTTTCTTTCACTTTTGCTACGGTATTTTTTTCGTGTTTTCTCGATTGTAAATAGGGCCAGTCCACATGATCACCGAATCATTTAAAATAAACCTGAATCGTGATTGAAAGAAGTACGAGGCTTTAGTTTCAGTGTTGTGAGACTTTGGTGAACTTTCAACTCCGATGTATTTTTGTTGCAGTGATGTACCCAAATTATTAATAATAAATAAAGGATTTATGTATTTCATAATGATGTATCCTCACACTATTGTTATGTTCTTTATATTGTAGAAGGTACATCTTTCACCCGCTAAGACTAGAATCATTGTATAATTAATTCAAGTCCAGTCAATGGCGTATAGTTTTTTAGTAAAGGTGAATTATAATCCTAATTCTCGTTCATTATTAAATATCGATATCCTCTTCTCCAATCCAATAACTTGAAATCCCGTTTTTAATTTCTCGTAAATATTTCTCGAAGTGCCCTTATGTGCTGGCGCTATCCAGTTTCAATGATTGCTTGGCCACCCTTGTGACAGGTATCGAGCAAGGGCTCTCTCACCGGCGGGTACTTCAACTCCAGTCGCTCTCGTCTCGAGATGCAGAAGAACAGATCTGAACTGCAGGAGCAAATCAACAACGCTGAGGGGGAACTGCGCCAATTGCAGGCTACGCTCCGGAATACTGAACAGGAGATCAACAAAATTGTCGGTGAAATGCAGAAAACCGAAATCAAGAACAGCAAGGCCAAGTATGTTTCTCTAGAAATACTAACTCGAAAATTTCTCTTCTTAAATTGCAGTTTTGATGTTATCAAAAAACGATTCATACTATAAGATTAAAATTGTCTACTTTAGCCTAAAATTTGATTTGTTGATTTATTTCTTACCAGGAACCTCTTCGAAAAAGTAAAGTCAGATATTCGCGTGATGAAGGACGAGCAGCAAAACTTGGAGCGGTCAAAGCAGCCTAAGGAGCGGTCTTTGGCGCAGCTGAAGGCCAATTTAGAAGCCATGCAAGCCACTAAAGAAGGTCTCGAGTCGGAGTTGCACCAAGATCTCCTTGCTACGCTAAGTGTGCAGGTTCGAGACTAGATTGTGCGCAATGGCCGTGTGGAATAATTGAAGTATTTGTTATCTTATAAAATGACTGGCATTCATGGGCAATATTTTTCGCGCTTTCTCATTTGTTTCATTGAAATTTCCAGGATCAACACGAGGTAGATCAGCTGAATGACGACATCCGTCGCTTGACACAAGAAAATAAAGAAGCTTTCACCAGGCGTATGAAGTTTGAGGCTGACAAAAACAAGCTTGAGAATTTGCTGACTAACAACTTGAATCGTCGAAAAGACGAATTAATGCAAGCGTTGCAGGAGATCAGCGTGGAAGATAGGAAGATGCAGCTCGACCATAGCCAGAGTGAGATCGTGAGAGTCGATGCTCGTATCATCGAAGTCACGGAACTTTTCAAAGATGTCGATAAGAAAGTCGCAGAAGCGCAAAAAAAAGATAAGCTGATGAAAACTGAACTTGAAAAGTACAAACTTAAAGAAAAAGAAATTATGGAACAAATGGAAGATGACGCCAAAGATCTTGAAAAAATGGCCTCCAGACAAAATCTCCTACACCAGAAAATCGATGAATGTACAAAGAAAATCCGAGAGCTGGGCTCGCTACCGTCTGATGCGTTCGACAAATACCAGAATCTCGCTACCAAACAACTTTTTAAGAAACTGGAAACCGCCAACATGGAGCTCAAAAAATATTCCCACGTCAATAAAAAGGCATTGGATCAATTCATTTCCTTTTCTGAGCAGAAGGAAAAACTTGTCGCTCGTAAAGAAGAAATTGACAGAGGGTACGATAAATTTTACAATAGATATTCTCATTGTCTAGGTTATTAGGATATTTTCTGTGTCGTAAACCGAAAACGATTATTCTAAGAGACGAACAATTGTTTTCATTAGAACTTGTAACATAATGTTTATTTTGCTATAGATAAAGAAAAAAAAAAACATTTTTCGTTGTTTAATAACTTCAATTCGAATGGCATTTAATTTTGTGGCGAATTAATTAATTTATTTTATCCTAAGGCACGAGAAGATCAAGGAGCTTATGCAGGTACTGGAGCATCGCAAATACGAAGCTATTCAGTTCACATTCAAGCAAGTCTCGAAATACTTCAGTGAAGTTTTCAAGAAGCTCGTACCTCAAGGCCATGCGCAGCTCGTCATGAAGACGGATGGAGATGAGGAAGGAGAGGTAAGTTGATGTTTTTTTTTTGTGAACAAATGTTACACCAATTATTTCACCTGTTACTTGGAGGAAAGTGCATTTGATGTTTTCTTTATAAGGATGAACTGAGTATATATTAGTAAATCATAACAATTGCATTACTTAAGGCGATTTCGTTTTTGAATGATCCAGTCTTATCTAGTGTAACTTCCATTCCAACGTTTCATATTTTCGAAACATTAAGGTTTTCTCTTGTGTCGAGCCTTAATTGAAATCTTATTTTGCCTGGAACCAAGTTTACAACTTGACTGTAGTAATCATTACTTTTCTCAGGCGAGTGAAGAACAGCAAGGAACCACTGACAATTTCACAGGAGTGGGCATCCGCGTTTCCTTTACTGGGCGCAACGCTGAGATGCGCGAGATGAACCAGCTTTCCGGCGGCCAGAAATCCTTAGTGGCTCTTGCCTTGATTTTTGCTATCCAGAAATGTGACCCGGCTCCCTTCTACTTATTTGATGAAATTGATCAGGTCAGCTGCTAGTCTCGGGTCCATTTTATTGCTTTGGTTCATGTAATCCAAAAACAGGTTTGGTTGTGAGTTTTTACGATTTTCTGAGTCGCAAAATTTGAGAAACCTTTCAACGTTATTTTAATGGTTTTGATTTTAAAAAGTTGTGTTGAAAATCTGAAACATAGTTGTAAACTTGCCTTTGAATCAGTTCGTTAAATGTGGGGTCATTACGTGTCGTTTGCGGAATCCAGTTCTATACTAACTATGAATCAATTACATTTCACATTTATAAAGAATTGTATCTTCTCAGGCCCTGGACGCGTCGCATCGTAAGGGTGTGGCCGACATCATTCACGAGCTGAGCTCCCAAGCTCAGTTCATCACGACCACCTTCAGACCCGAACTCCTGGAGCACGCCAATAAGTTCTATGGCGTCAAGTTCCGAAACAAAGTCTCCCACGTCGAGTGTGTGTCGAGAGAAGAAGCGTACGACTTCGTCGAAGATGATACCACGCATATCTAGTTCATTACTGCCACATCACTCTCCTTATTTACCTGTCACAGACTTGAAGGAGGAATTGATTGCTTACTAACCGCTAATGATTTAAAATCAGATGATTGCTGAGAGATGTGGTGCCAAGTCAAGTGTAGTGACTGAAGGGAATAACTCTTATTTCAACGTTTTTTTTTGCTCGAGACGAGAAAATGTACAACTATCCTTTTTATTTTTGACAACGGAGAAACCATTTGTATGCTGCCTTTTATTTTTGGTTGGAGATAATAAGTGTTATGTAGTGCTTTAAACAACCTTTTCTTAAAACCTTTTTTCCATAAACCTATTATGCTGCGTTCGCATAACGTGAAAGCTTTTTCAGTGCTCTATTAATGATGAGCTCTTAGTTGTAGGTATTTTTTTAAATGCATTCCTCGAAACTTGTGTAATCGCACCCTCTCGACATTCTTGCCCGAAGCGTCCAGTGAATTCATGCCTGTCGTTGCAGTTAAGGCAGTGAGAGAACTGAAATTTCATTTGAGGTTTCAATTTACAAACATATTTCAGTAAAATAATTGAAGGAAGAACGTTTGAGAGGATTGTCTGAATACAGATGTTTCAAGTTTAGTTTGTGACATGAATTTGAACGGAAACCATTCATGAAATGCCTGATTTTGAATGCAGCCTGGAAGACAGCAAATGTTGAAGGGTAGCTTCTTTGTGAGTGTACCTCGGAAACACGAGTTTTACAAAATAGTTTGATTTTTCGCAACGCCAAATTGTGCTGTAGATTTTGACGATTGATGACGTACCTGTTAGTAGTTATGAGGTTTAAGAAATTGGACTGTTCATATTTTATACTAAACATGTGTAAATATCAAGTGAGACAGATCTTTCAGTTCCGCCGTTTCTTAATAAAGTTGAAACGTTATTCGAGTGCTTTTCTTGAGTAAAATTCTCTCATTCTATTGTTGATAAATTCGCAAAATCGTTCTGAGGGATTCTCGGGAGCCTTGTTGGACGACTTTTTCTATTACCTTAGATTGAGAATTTTAACAGCTTAGGCGTAAAGAATTGAATTTCTGTACAATTCGGAACCAAGTTTTTAATACCGATTATATTTTCAAAGTTTTTTTCTGGAGTGTGCGCCGCCGAAGTGCTTTTTCCAAGGCCAATAAGATGGTCAATGCGTCCGAGTGTATCGACACGATTGTCTGAATACTTAGTGTAACGGGAAATTTGACAATGGATGTATATGAGCATAGACTTGCTTTGGTATCGATATCAATGTTTTGTTGATAGTCTTGGTAACGAGGGTGCCTCGCTGGACATCATTGCATGCTCGAGAAATAATGCTCTGGCAGTAGTAACATTCAGTGGGTGGTGTACTATAAATGGGGTTCTCTCGATAGGTGTAATGTAAATGGATTTCTCGTTATGTTCGCTTACAATTGGCCGAGTCTTTCATATTACAGGTTTGCCATCTGATGGTTAAGAAAACGGCCAAATCAGCTCAAATATGGCCGAAAACGACTACAATTCAATTTGCGTTACAACCATTCATTTTTCAGGATTATTAAAAATTCCATCGAGTGACAGGCCCAATATATATCTACCGGGTACTCAATTGTACAAAGCACAAATCAGCGAATAGGGCAGGGAAAACGCCCATCCAGCAACCCTGTTCGTCTAGTAACCGTGTCGAGTATGAAACTTGCGGCGTGTCCCCTACAACTGTTCGACACAGGATATCATTTTTTATTTATATCTACTTATCAATTGAAAATTGCGCAGCGAATTTGCCGCACTGGTCACTTAATGTTCGGACACACGAAATAATGTACAGGTAATTTCAATACAACGCATGTATTTGAAATTATACAAACATTGTCAGGTCAAGCTAGGGACCGTTCCTTTGCGTAACGAGAGTATTGTTATTGAGCATGGTTGAACTATATATAATCTACTAGTTCAACCATGGTTATTAAGGAACCCACTATAAAGGGCAAAGTACCGGAATGCTACCATAAATTTTTGGGTGTTAAGTTTAAATTTTACATGTTTTTTTTTGAGGGGGGTGAGCTAATAGGATAAAATAAGCTCCTCTAGCTTTGTTAGACAGGCGTCCGAGGTCCTTGCTTCATTCTCCATTTCTGTTATGTATTCTCTTGTCCATGCCTATGAATCTTGTGATCGGTCATTTCTATCAATTCTCATCCATTCTTTTGTCTTTTTATTTTTGGCTTGCTATTAAACTTATGTGTAACGTGCCCTCGAAATTCCTTTAAACCTAACGGCACGATAATCACTTCCGTAGAATAATTATTGTCTTTTCGTTTTTCGCCTGTGAGATTCTATGGCTGGTCCTCCCAGCTATTGTTAGCAGTCAGACCCACGGAGGTCTCCGTCCTCTTTTCGCGGATAAATTAATTTCAAGTACACAAATCTGTTATAAACGATACATTTTACTAATTAATGTTGCAAGACAGTCGAGTCCCTGTACAGGGCAGTTTTGTAGAGCTCGATCAGGCGCCAGTCGACTTGAGCAAAATTCTGCGACTAGAATCCTGCAGGTCATCTCGGCAGCAGCTCAGTCCGTCTTTCGAGCTTGCAGCGAGCGCAGCACCTCGACTACTCGTGGATGGCTCAAATATTGGTAAATAACCTTTAATACTTCAAGTGATCTTAAAACTATGATTGATCAACCGATTTCCCTTTCATTCATGGTATAATGGCGGTTTATAACAAAGTCGTAAATCGTTCATACGTGATAGAGTTAATTTGTGGATATTTGTGAAGGCAGAGTAATATGAAGGCTAAGTTCGAAAAGGCAGAGTTCTGCCTTTCTGAAGGCAGAGTTGAAAGGTTTGACAGGATAACGTGTGTAGTGCTAGTGATACATTTTATATAAGCCTGAGCATTTATATTTATAGAAGCTTGGGTCTGCGGTGATGCCTTTCAAAAGGCTTACATTCATACATTATCCACCCTTACCTGACAGAGGATTCTTTGTATTGGTATAGAAGCAGCATAATTTTCAGCCTAGATATTGAAAAAAGTGTTTATCCGAGAAATTACAATAAATTGCACATCACTCGAAACTGGATTAAACACATAAATGCGTGAAAATAACTACGGTGCTTGTAGACAAATAAATGCAAACATTAGTTTACCTATTGTAGTTTAATCAAATTTTCCATTCGATGGTTAAGTAGCTCCTGAAAGACGTTCCCTCACTTACATATCAATCGAACGCGAGTCCCATTTATTTTATTGACAAACAACTTGAATGAATTAACTTAATGGCGTACGATCGTATAGGCACGATCGCTTGCTTATCGATCCCGATGTTTTGTAAAATCACTCACACTAATGTTTTGTAATATTACTCACATTATGTTCTGTAATATTCCTCACATTATGTTTTGTAATATCACTCTAACTTACTTCAACATATTTCAACCTAGATAGGAATGCCGAAGAATTCAAGAACCAAAATCGGGAACTTATTGGTATCATTTTGCAAAAATTAAGAGCCCAATATATGTCAGGTATTATGTATTAGTATCAAGAGGCTTCATTTTTTAGTATTCAAGAGGCTTATTAGTATTCAAGAGGCTTCATTTTCTTTTATGCATCATCATTACTGATATCATTGGTTAAATTGAATGTTTTTCTGGCTATAGACATTTAAAAAGCAAATTTGCTCATTTTTCGGACATGGATCATAGAATTGAAGTGTCGGCATTGAAGAAATGGGCCCATGGCCTGCTGCCGATTCATGAACTTTTCGTGACTTGATTCACTAGGGATCCGTGCAGAAAACGATGATCGGTAGGCTAGAAATTAGCTTCAATTGAAGTAGGGAGCAGATTGATATTTGCACGATTTAATTTGCCTTTTGAACTGTACATGTGTTGTGAAGTATGCAATAATTATTCATCGCATGAACCATTGAGGACTAAATTCCTTAACTGTTTTTTTAACTGTTTGTTCTCGGTATGCCCAGAGCGATTGATCGAAAAGAAAAAATCTGGCATTAATAACCAAGAGTAATTATAGATATCCAAGAACGCACAATGGATAATTGGGATTACATGTAAAATACATTTGTCTGGCAATCTATGATAGGTTTGCGAATAACGATCGAATTATGAACTTATAATTCGGAAAATGTTATCTTAGACAAGGGAGAAATAGATAATCTTGGCAAGTTTATAACTACTTCCAGTCTTTGTTTCTTGTAAACAATAGGAATAAAACCTTCCTGTGTCAGTGATTCTTTCCCCATTTTAATTGAACTTTGATCAAGTTGATCCTTTAGACTGAGATGAACAACAACGAATGACGTAGATAATGAAAAATCGCCCTCGGCAAGTCTTCCTTCGATTCAACTCGCTCGTCAAACCAGTTATGCCCTGACCAACCGGTTACGTATTTCGCCTTTAGTCGACTGTCAAAAAAAATCCCCGTTATGTTCGATTAAAAAAAAAAAAAAAAAAAAATCCCCGTTCAAAAGTAATGAAATGTCATGTTGTAGAAATTAAAAATAGTTAGAATTTTCAAGGAGCGAGACGTGAGTGTCAGTCACCATAAAGAAGTGAAGGTTAACATTCTTATCAAGCTTTACGTTTAGATTTTTTTGTTTCAATTTACAATTTAGCATAACAGAAATTGCCACAGGATACAAATTTACCGCAAAAAGAGCAACGTTATGTCATCTCAGAAACTAACCTTACGTTTTCTCGAAATCTTTTGCTGACCTCTCCGCCATATTTCGTGACCGCATCTATAAGCCACTTGCAAAAGCACATTCTCACGCTAGACACAATTTGCTAGAAAACTCTGGAGGTTGAATGCGGTAACCCGTTAGGTTCGGCCAGTTTGACAGGTTTGTCCAGCAGGTTCGATTTGTCGCCGTCAAATCATCTGGCGTAGCAGGTTAACCAGGAGTTGCAGGCTAACCTGGCGTAGCAGGCTAACCAGGAGTTGCAGGCTGTAGCAGGTTAATTAATGAAATAATTAGGAGTTGCAAGCTAATATATGGCGTATAGCAGGTTGACCAGGAGTTGCAGCCTGACCTGGCGTAGCAGGTTGACCAGGAGTTGAAGGCCGACCTGACGTAGCAGGTTAACCAGGAGTTGCGGCCTGACCTGGCGTAGCAGGTTAACCAGGAGTTGAAGGCCGACCTGGCGCAGCAGGTTAACCAGGAGTTGCAGCCTGACCTGGCGTAGCAGGTTGACCAGTTGTTGCGGGGAAACAATGTTCACGGTGAACGCCATGAGGCAAATACAGCTTATACAGGTTAGTGTCGCTTATCGCAGCATAGCACAGCATTTAACATAACAGACCATATTACAGCATAGCTCAGCATTGCGCAGCATGCATGGCACGGCATAGCACTTAATGGCGTAGCATAGCAGAGCATAACACAGCATTTTATAGCACCTGCAGCACAGCATAACACAAGATAGCATAGCACAGCATTGAACAGCATAGCTCAGAATATCACTGCATAGCACTGCCTAATATTTCATCGCATGGTGCGGTGCAGTGTTAATATAGTGAAGGCTTGGTTCAATGTTTACTACCTAACAAAAGTCAATTTGGCAATGATGAGACCCGTTCGTAAAGTCAAACGAGATAAATAAATTTGCTAATTTTCAGCGCATTATTTGATATAAAATGCTACATATTAGCGGATAACCTGATATATTAACAAATTAAAACTTCATCGTATTCAGAAGAATGTCAATTGACATTTCTTGTTGGGAACATCGTGGAATTGTAACGACCATATTATTTCTAATAGGATGGGAACATTTTATTTAGAGCAAATGCGATTTTTGCAACACAACCGTATGAACGCAAAACGAAACTCGCTGATACGAGCTTAACTCGAATCTGCCCCATGAGAAAATATAAAAATTTTGCGGATCTCATTAACAAAAACCCGAGTTTTTCCTGCATTTTACGTGAAAATTTTTGCAACAACAATGAAAATTTTCGATGTTGTCAAGTGTTTATCAGTGATTGCTCTCCATTCCAGCACGTCTCCCTGTGGTGCTTGTGCTGCTTGGCCGCCTTCTGTGTGTATATTTACCCTGACGAGGCTCCACCTGCAATGTGAGTTTCTTCCTTATACGATAACTCTTTATCAATTGTTTAAATTTCACTGATCACCACCAAATAGGCATAATTATTACCAATCGTCTGTTAGATTATACTATAACGAGCTCCAGGCTTCCTCCTCCTGATAACTCGTGAGTCTAATATTCAGAGGTGCTCATTGTTTTCTTGTTTAATACTTTTCACTCTTCAGCACACTTTCACTCTCGTTTTCGCTCTCTTTTTAATTTTAGCCAAGTTCTATGTTGAGGGATAAAGGATCGAATAAACTTGCGCTATCCAAGCTTTACTGAACAAATGCCCAGTTACCTGGAAACATAACGACTAATGTAAAATACTTATAAACGAAACACGGAACAATATAACATAACAGTAACAGAGGAAATATATAACAGTTGACAAGTAAGATTCGTAAAGGTAAGTAACGTTGCACTTACATCATAGAACAGCAGGGGTCAGGCCCATTCATACTGGCTATTGCATATGAGACTGACAACACTAGTGGGAGCCCAGATCGAAATATCAGATCGATCTAATGATTATTTTCCTCCAAGCATGAAACTCAAAGATTTTTCAGAATGCAATGCTCATGATGATTTATAAAGCACCCGATTTAATTATAATTACATTACAAATATCAAGCCTTCTATTATGTTACAAATATAGACGCAGAACAAAATATTCATGTTAACTAATTTTTTAGTACGGGCGAAGAAGATGGAGACCCAGAGAAGACGTCGCTCCAAGACCTGCTACTGAGCGACAGTCGGAGCGCCGCGAAGTCGCCTTCTACGCGCAATGTCTTTGAAATTTCATTGGATTTGAAAAACGTTACGTGGCTGGCGCTCGTACGAGATGCCATGAGCAAAAGGAAACCTGAAGAACTAAAAGAATCTGTAACTGTGTTGTAAGTGAAAGTTTTACAGTATTATCAGGTGATCATATTTAGATAGATTAAGATCTGAAATTTAACGTAAAGGCTTCGAATAAGTTTCTGCACAATTTTTTATTGATGCAGAAAATGGTGGTAAATGCTCATTCTTTTCAGCAACTTTTAGTCCAAATATATTTCGTTTGGATTTCAAATTTGATTCGCCACGATTAAATATCAATTTTTCAATTTGTTAAAGTTCCTATTATAAGTTAAAACTTTTACGACAGTGCGATGTGATATGAGAAAAGAATTAAGAATGTCCAAAATAATTATTAATGTACAGTATTAGTTGGTAGTTGTGGTAGTTAACAACTATCCGCGTTTAATAACTGTTTAACTGGACTTTTCTTGTCCTAAGATCAGGAACTCTACTGAAGCAAGAAAAAGATTCAAATGAGACTAAGCCACTCAAGAAAATACTCTTCTGGAATCATGTGAGTTGTTTGCACACAATTATTAATAAGAATTCATTTATTGATTGAGTTTATGTGGACGTTGTCTCACCATTCATCATGAACTTATTATCCGTTCGGAATTGAATGACATCCTCTTCTTATCGCTTGCTAGTTAAAACTTATTTGCAGTTTTGAAGCATTAACTGGTCAGTATTGTGATGTCATTGTATTTATTTTTACTTCTTATCGCTTGCTACTTAAAATATTTGCAGTTTTGCAGCATTAACACATCAGTATGGTAATCTCATTGTACTTATTTTTAAGCCCGACAACTATTTCGGCGTGGGCCACGAGCCGTTCGTCCGGGCCGGCTGCCCCGTCGACCGCTGCTACATCACCAACAACCGCAGCGAGCTGCCCTACCAAGCCTGGGATGCTCTCGTCTGGCGCCCCGACACCGAAGACTTCTCAATACCCTACAGAAGGTTGATGTTTATCCAGTTCATCAAGAATTTAAAAGCATATAAAACACCAAGTTAATTCACCATATCTTCAATGAAGACGTTTCGGAGATCAGTTCCATCATCAGTTCAAAAATTTCGTAGAACTTGCTATTAAATTCTTGACGAACCTGCGATTTAAGCAGACTATTATGGTATATATAAGTATCCAGCACTTGTGTTGTGTAAAGTTCAATTTCTTGCCCGCTCCTGTGAACCGGACGTACAGTATATGTGTTACTCATTTACTATTAGATCTGACACGAGGAGGACTTTATTTCCTGTGAAAGACTAAGATTTATCTGAATAGAGTGAGTCATGTTTCAATGAATATTTTACAACTACCGGTACCGAATTTTTGTTCCAGATCTCCAGCTACACGATATGTTTTTTTCCTTTTGGAGCCACCAGGACTGGAACCTCCGATCGTGAAATTTGTCGAAGGCAAATTCAACTACACGATGACGTTTCGAGAAGACTCCGATATTTTCCATCCGTTAGTGAGCAATAAACATTTATTTTTAGCAAAAATGATGTAAATAGTTGGAACAAGTACGATTTATCAACCAAATACACCTACGTAGTAAAATATTGCGTCTTTAAGGTGCAGTTTCTCGGAAGGTAAAGTTTATCAATGGCAATAATAATTACAATTATTGTCGATGATTATTGTCAATTGTCAATGAATAATTACAATGATAATGATAACTGCGCGGCAGTGATGCCAGTTCTGAAAGTCCAATGGCCGGATGTCTTTGTTTGCTTGTGCAAACAAAACTAAAAACTTTGCCGTTTAAATAAAAGCAATGAACGGATCAGATTATAGTTTAATGATTGTTGTGAATGTTATTAAATATTTATGTTTTACAGGTACGGCTCATTTACTACCTTACCCGAGCCCCGGATTGATGCTTTAACAAAAGACTATACTCATGGCAAGACAAAAATGGCAACTTGGTTCGTGTCACATTGTCAGACCAGAAGCGGAAGAGAATTGTGAGATTTTAAAATGACATTTTCTTATCGGCTTACTGGAAATTTCGTAGCCTAAGTAGTTTTAGTAAATTAGATACTGACGCTCTTATAATGCAAAAATCCTTATGTTCAAACTCCGACAAAAATAACATCTTTCGTTGTAGAGGAAGATTTCTTGCAAGGTTTCATGACATCATTATGAATTTCTGTCAAAAACAGTTATTTTCTCCATTTCATGACGTATTCGTGATTTTTTTCATTCCTCTCATATTTTCCTCAGATTGGTAGACCGACTAAGTCGGTACATGCAAGTCGACGTCTACGGAGAATGCGGCACATTAAAATGTCCGCGCTACGACAGCGAGTGCATCCCTCGAGCAGCGAAAATCTATAAATTTTATCTGAGCTTCGAAAATTCCCTTTGCGATGATTACATCACTGAGAAATTTTTCGCAATCTTGAAGTAAGTGTAACGCGCTAATCACCGAAAAGTTCCTTTTGGATCTGCCGGAAGTTTGACACGTAATCCATGAGAATCCTCGAAAGGTGAGTTTCTTAGCAATTCCTTACTTTCAGGTCTTGTAGATAAAAGCGTAGCAGTTGGTACTATTTCATTGAACATGAAATTCACAAAAGATATGTCCAAGCCAGTCCCACTTTTGCCGCCGTTCTTAACTCTGACCAAGAAGTGCAGCGTTAGTATCACTACGAACGAGAGAAACGTCGCGGATCTCGGAGTAACCTCAGATTGGTAACAAATTACAACAAAAATATTACAAAAGGCACCATTAGAACAAAGAAGGATAGGTGTTGAGGTTCTTGGAATAATTGAAACAGAGGGTTGGTCAACAAGTATTGACGGTTGAGAAGACATTTCCTGTCCCGGCAGAGACTGGAAGGTTTCAGTAGGGGCCGAGGTCCCGATGAAGTCTTCTCGATTGGGTCTCCTGCAGACGCAATGGCCCCACGACTCTGATAATTCGATATTGACGGATTGGCTATAGAGTTCTCTATAACCTCAACACAGTAGGAATACTTCCAAGGGGCTTGAACTCTATAGACCAGCTAGGAGCTTTTGACTAAATTGGAAGCTAATTTATAATAAATTTATATTAACAATGTGTTTGTGTTTTTTTTTGAAGAATCTTTGAATAATAAATTACCTCTGTTGAGTAATACTAAGTGTCACGTAACTAACTATTTTCATATCATGTGGCAAGGTGGTCCGTGGTGCTTGCATGACAGAAAAAATAACGGGCACACACAACATAAACTATGCTTTTATTCTTGTTGGGAAGGATTCTGTGTATCAAGGCACGTTTATGAGTTACAATAATACAAAATTTCACTAAACAGCTTCTAGGGAATATTATCTGCTGAAATCTGCGGTGTTGCACGGCTTATGTTCTGTAATGTTAATATTTCGCTGGTCATTTTTGAACATGAATAGATTACCTACACTGATACTTTTTATGATGCAGTTTTCACTCGTATATTTTATTGATCACAGATTGGATATCTTGCCGGTAGTGTACGGCCTTGGAGAGTATGAGAAGATTGCCCCACCACACTCATACATCAACGCTTTGGACTTCCCAAGCATTCGTCACTTGGCGAATTACCTTCTCTACCTCGACAAAAACCACACCGCCTACAACGAATACTTTCGGTGAGTACAGTAATTGAAAGGTTGTCATACTCCTGTCTTAACAACAACACCGCCTACAACGAATAATTCGGTTAGTACAGTTAGTGGATGGCTGTCATAATCCTTTTCCAACAACAATGCGGCCGACATCGAACACTTCCGGTATGTACAGTGAGCAGAAGGATATCATACAGTGAGCAACAAGGATAGTTTCGGGCTTGAAAGGCAAGTCCTATGAGGAAAGATTAAAGATTATGAAGCTTCCAAGCCTCCATTATCGACGTCTGCGTGGGGACCTCATTGAAGTATACAAATATACTCATGGCTTATACAAGGTCCCAGAAGGATTACTAGAATTTGAAACAAGAACCAACACCAGGGGCCACGGCTATAACTAAAAAAACAGCGTTGGAACACATCCATGCGACAACATTTCTTCTCGCTTCGAGTCACCGACATGTGGAACAGCCTCCCTGATAGCATCGTTGAAGCTCCGAGTATGAACATCTTCAAAAACAGACTAGACGAAGCTATGCAGGAGCATATGTTCAGTCTTAAAATGCCTAGCAAATTACGGAGCAGGCAATAAGTCCAGCAGCTATCTCAATCAATCGTCAGTTATGGAAAGATCGGGTTCCAAAGGCCGGATCCCTTGTGAATCAAGTCACGAAAAGTTCAAGAATCGGCAACAGGCCATGGGCCTATGTCTTCAACGCCGACACTTCTATTCTATTCTATTCTATTCTATATTATTTTAACAACAGTGCGGCCTATATCGAACAATTTCAGCGACTACAGTTAGAGAAAATCTGTCATCCTCATATTTCAACAACAATACCACCTACAACGAACACTTTCGGTGAGTACAGTCAGATTATTTTATTATTGCTGTAATTTTCTTTCTCCTGGAAAATAAATATGAACACAGTCCACAAATTCACAAGTGAGTAACAAACCTTGTGATAAGCTGCTAAATACGTACCATTCTCACTGGCTTTGAAACCCTAATTATTTCGCGACATAGGAAATGCAATTTTCTTATTCACTAAAAGTTATAAGATACAGAAATAAGGAAAATAAAACGTAAGTATAAACGAAATAATTCTCGCTCTGATTAAATATTTTATTTCAATTTGCAGTTGGAAAGCCTACAGTGAAGCAGTGCGAAGTTTCCCCATGAAGCAGAGCACAGCATCTAACATTTCCTGGTGCCAGCTGTGCGAGAGACTGCACTACGACCAGCAGAAGAGGGTGCACGGCAACCTCCAGGAGTGGTCCCAACACTCGGCCAATTGTCTCTCAGCTGAAGACGGAGTTATTGATAGCTTCTTGCGCGATGAAGTGATCCAGAAATTGAGATAGCAAGAGCTTTTGTATTTTTATTGTCGTGATATTTATGTATCAATGATGCACAAGTCGATTTTTCTGTCTCATATTATAATTGTCAACAATTACTACTTATTCACGTTAATATAAGAACAACGATTAAATGTTTTTAGCACGTATCCTGTCAGTGATCAAAACTAGATGAACATTGAAGCTTCCGGCGGAATAGCAATTTTTAAGGAAATGATTTCTGTTAAATTAGAACTACTGCTGCACGTGATAAATTCGTGTAAATTGATTAATTATCTGACACAAGTGCGAGCCTCTGACCTCATGACCGAGGCTGCCGAAATTATCTGATCAAGCACACTTGTACATTCCATTCACTTTGAGCCGCACGCTCTTTTCTGACTGGGAATAATGAGGGCGGTGGAACTGGTGTTTTGTCTCAAATAAACTTTGTACAAATATAGTCCTCTAAAAATCGAATGTTTCTTCTATTCACCACGTAATACTTTTTCTAGACAATTTTAATGCATGGTTATAGAAAAAGTTTTTATTTGTTTTAAATAGTCGTGCTGTTACATAAATTGAGTGACACAAATTCGGTGTAATTTATAGAAGGAAATTTCGATAGATTTGAAACAATTGTGTAAAGTATTCATCATTATGTTTGATTAAAAAGTATGACATATGTGTCATAATTTCCTTCGAGTTACGTTTCACCATCTGTCTAAAAATTAGTAAGTCTTTAAATTTCTCTATAAGACGCGTTAGTTTCATCGCTGAGAATCTTTAGGATTTTAAATTGAAGTAATATGCGAGGGTTGTCTGCAGAAAAGATAATTTATCATCTATTGTACGAAATATTATACACAAAGAGAGGCTGAACTCCAAGAAATTTTTGAACGCAAATGGAAATGGCATACTTTTTTATCAAACAGTTTTTAATTATGTTCTCTACTCTAACTATGATCATTTAAGTATACGTTTTCAGTAACGATATTGAACACGAAAAAAGTTGTAGCATGAGGAGTTTCTAAACTTATGCATCTTCAGAGTTATATAAAACTCGCATGGATTGTTTTACAGTCATATTGTTATCAAATAATTTTTTATTCATGAACTTCAGGAATCAATCCTGAAACTGTGCATGGCTGGTATACAATTTATGAAAGTTTTATATAGTGAGTAATAGCGGTCACCTAAACATATATGCACGGCAAACAAGTGACTAGAGTTATGTGTCCACTCATTTAACTTATTTACTTTGAGTTCACTGCACACCAGCAAACGACTTTTTATTCATTCCTTATTTAATTTCATTATCTTTATTCAAAACTCGTGAAATAGGTAGGACGAAATAGGAGCAAATAAAACGTCATTTTGACGTCCCTGAGAACTATTCCCTGTAGTGCCACAGTCGGTGAGTGCTTTCAGATTACGATCGCAAGTATTCGCTTACGTCAGCGAAACGTAAAAACTAAATTGGTTAGTTAAAAAGTTACAGTAGATTATCTTCCGTTTAACTAGCAACTAATAATGTACAAATTGCTTGTGAAAAATTATTATTTGAAATAACCATTCTGGGACGATTTACCTCTTAATTTTAATTGGAATTTGTTACATTAGCTTTGTTTCTTATTTTTAATAAAAGACGGATTATGTTCGTAAAACGAGATGATAATATTCGATTATATTTTCCTGTGATTAATTAAAAACAACACCGGCTGAAAAAGTGCATTGAAATAGGCTTCAATAGTTTAAAATTCTTAAGCTGTGCACCGTATTATATGTGCTTAAAACGATGTGCAATATAAAGCAAAATAAAGGCGCAATAATCTTTTAGAATCATATAAAAAAATTAATCCAAGAGAAGGGACTAGCACAATGACACGAACAATGTACAATTCATAAAATTGTGTTTCCACGGCAAAAATTTAAGCGCAATTTGAATTAAGATATTATATTTTGTAAATTAATCGAGTTTGCAAGCAGGTCATTAAAGGTTAATGAGCTTGAATATGACCACAGATTAGTCGTGTAGACTGATAATAATTGATCGTATTACTGCTATGCAATATAGAGGCCAATAAAATGGAGTTACATTATTATCCAATTGGTGTAAATACTTACATATCACAAACGTGCTTCATAGAAGTTACAGTTAATCATGCGCAATGCGAGTGCCTGGTAGAAAGGAAAAAATAACGCAAAGAAAGGAGGCAAGGCATAAGGTGAGAAAACGCATTTATTTCTATGCCTTCGTACAAAATCTGAGAGGAATGGTTGCTGGTGAGAAATTGTTTAGAAAAGATCATGTATGGCCGAGATAAAAATGGCTGTTTGAGAAAACGCCGTGAGAGATATGAATATGACCGAGCGAGAAATGTCCATGAGAGAAAAGGACGTGAGGGTTTAGGCCACGATTGAAAGAGCTCGAGAGAAAAGGTCGCGAGAGAAATGACCATGAGAGAAAAGGCCGTGAGGGTTTAGGCCGCGAATGAAATTGCTCGAGAGAAAATGTCGTGGGAGAAATGAACATGAGAGAAAAGGCCGTGAGGGTATAGGCCGCGATTGAAAGAGCTCGAGAGAAAAGGTCGCGAGAGAAATGACCATGAGAGAAAAGGCCATGAGGGTTTAGGCCGCGAATGAAATTGCTCGAGAGAAAAGGTCGTGGGAGAAATGACCATGAGAGAAAAGGCCGTGAGGGTATAGGCCGCGAATGAAATTGCTCGAGAGAAAAGGTCGTGAGAGAAATGACCATGAGAGAAAAGGCCGTGAGGGTATAGGCCGCGAATGAAATTGCTCGAGAGAAAAGGTCGTGGGAGAAATGGCCGTCAAAAAATCAACGAGGAAACAGGCGTGAGAAAAATGCCTGAGAGAGAAAGGCTGTGAGAGCAAAGGTCGTGAAAAGAAACAGCCGTGAAGGCAAAGGCCGTGTGGGAAATGCCTGCGGCAAAACGTGTCTCATTATAGAGTAACATATTAATAAGGAAGGTAGCAGTGCTCCTGGCATAACCACAATTAAGATAGGTAAGTTTGAATGAGCAGTGATGAATTTCACAGCAATGCAACGCTAAAGTGAATGAATTTACCCGTAACAGAAATAAATTTATTTTTAATAACATTTAACCAGCGATGGATCTAAGTTTAGGTAAACAATATTTGATTATAAACCACTCATTTCTGTTAAGGATATTGATTGGTGCCTAATTGAACGACGCAAATCATTTAAAACAGGAAACCTATTTGTTAATTTCTTGCGATTGAAGCCTTGCGTCGAACAAAACTTTCTTTATTTCGGACATAAACAGCTATTTTTTAAACATTATTTGTTGCCACATATTACAGCGACAAATGGTGAAGTCATTGTGCATCAAACATTGAATAAATAGGTACGAAAGATATAGATGAAAACTCAGTGTAAAGTGCTCTCGTGCAATCGCCAAAAGCGCAGGCCAAATGAGACGGTCGGAGATCAGGCTTTATGCAACTCATTTAATAACAAAATTTCAAACAAACTAAGATGTGTTTCACTCAAATAATGCGATTAGATCGACTTGATTTAACTAGGATGCGAATATTTAGATCGATTGAAGATATCATGAGTTGTGGGTTCGGTACTGTACCGGACACTGGCGGTGTACTAGGCTGATTTTTTTTCTGGCAATTAGTGAATCAATCAAATTACTTTCAAACGCGCACCATCTGCTTAAAATGGTTTGGAATCTTAAAACCTTTATGTTAACTGCGAGCAGCCTCATCCTCAAGAGAAGATGTAGACGACCTCAGACGGAGTCAAGCTACAGCTCGGTGTTGCTGTGGAGGCATACACTCCGGTCGAATAGTAGCATCTGTTGTTTACATACTTGACCATCTTGGCTCCTGATGTGAAACATAATAATTTCAGGTCTTCATTCAGGTCTTTCATTCGATAATACTGGGAACACAATAATCGCAAAAACATATTTCCGAATTATTAAGTGGAATTTGAACAAATTTTTTCTATTTTAATAGCAGCCTGCGTTGCGTGCTGGGAGCAATGGAAAAATGCTATTGTAGCAATAAAAATTATTTACAATTTAAGCTACCCTTTACATCCATTCAAGATATTAATGTTTTATTCTCCTAAAGTTATATTAATTTACTCACCAGAAATGGTTTCAGCCAGATTCAAACACCTGATGAAAGAGGGCTCCTGTTTTATGATCAGTTCGGTCCACGTAAATTGTACGACTGAATTCGGAGCGAAACGCGTCGCGATCCTTCCGCTGTCGAGGGTGAGTTTGAGGAGTTCTCCGTAGACTGTATACGGAGGGTCCTCACACTCCGATAACATGTACGAAATTTTGTTGTGCCTGAACACAAACTGCTCAAAAAATTAAAGTATAAATTCATTAATTAGTTTATCTTTTGCCTATGAATTAGCCCACAGAACTTCAATCTTGGCCTTCTGAAACTAAAATTTTGGACTTTCTTTGTGACTTTGGTTCGCTATTTATTTTTAAAAAACTATTTAATCGGAACATCTTATTACGTTGACAAAAAATCATAATGCAATTTATTGAATCAATAAATGAGACATTGTAATTTCCTCCTCCACCATGTTATTCAAATCGTATCAAATTTATTTGAAATAAAATTAAACTACCAATAATTTTTTCCTAGCGCATATTCATGAAAAATCATGCACATGATTCGTATTCATTTAAAATTTAAAATTACACGGTCTTCTAGCACCCACTGTAACAGTTCGAAAAGAATGTTCACATCATTCACAATCATTACATGATGGCAGAACTTTCTTGTTTACATTTGTCATTATAATCATTCGCAATGTGCACACTCTCTCTATTATCGAATTCACTCGCTCACATCATTTCGGTATGCACACACTCACTTCTTCTAGGGCAGAAACTTGCACCAGCAGCAAGGCTATAGCCAAGCAAGTGATAGCCCTAGTCCAAGCCATGTTTGCAAGGTTAGGTTGACAGCGGCACTACAGCTGACACCGCAGTCCAGTTCAGCTGCCAGGCGACGAGTGACGGTACAACTGCATCGGCAACCAAGTTCCCAGTCGACCTCAGCTCAGGCACCTGCGTCACGAACTAAAAATTATCTGAAACATCTTCGCTTGACTTTTGATATCATCTTAATGTGTATCTGCATCGATGTATTTTCTAAACTCCTTTACTATAGATAGGACTTGTGTTCCTCTTAACAAATTTGCGTTCTTTGTTGGACGGCATAGTTTGACGATGCGTGTAACGGCATTTTAGACATGAAATAAAATTTGAATAGTAAGGGAAAATATTTTTCGAAGAAGTATGCACAGATGATCTCAAATTGAAATTTTTCTTTCGGACATGTACACAGGAAACTGAAACATAGTGGATAATAATTCAGTAATTTTTCTCCCTGTAGTTTACTCGGCAACTGAAACTGAAACATAGTGGATAATAATTATAAAATTAATACAAAGTAAGCGGTTAGAATGAATAATTTTTGAATGAAATATATTGCGAAGTAAATGAATTTTACAGCTAACGATCGAAAAAAATTCATAAAATCGCCTGGAATAGTCGATCATTTCAGAATTGCCATTCAACATTGATTAATGGAGTAATGATGCCAATGCAGGTGCAATGTTGCAGTGTTGCAACATTAACTGGAACGATGATGCCAATGTAGGTGCTGTAAATTAACAGGAACGATGATGTAATGGGACAGGAACGATGATGCTAAGGGCTATATACCATTAATTTGTGTGATGATGGTACTGTAGGTGCTTTACATTAACATGTATGATGGTGCTTTTGCAGGTGCATGATGATGCTTTTCAAGTGCTCTGCAGGCGCCATTACCTTGAGTGATGATGTTATAGCTGATGCAAAACTATTAACTTGGATGATGATTACAATGCTGGTTGCGCGGCTGTCGACGATGTAGCTCCCTTAATCTCGCTTCATTATGCCAGAATTTGCCCAATAATTCATACGTTAATACAGTTAGTTTTGTTCCTCAGCTACCCGCGTGAAAAATATATTATTTATTCAGAAACATTGCGCAAGAACAAACATTGCATATTCTGATTATTTGTGCACTGTTACATTTTCATAACTTCTCACACTTGGTAAAAATTTTGTAGTGAAATTTTTTTATGGTAATGCTGAATATATGCTTAGAATTTAGCGGACAAAAATATTTATGAACTAAATGAACTTGATATAAAATATAATATTTAATATTCTTATGATGAGAATGGCCGCATATATAATCGTAGGATGAGCGTGAAGGGTACAGGTGTCTATTGTATTTAACTTATCACTAATCAAAGCTCCGGCAGCTGTACAGCTTAACTTCACCTGTTGCAACTCAGCGTTCGACCGTCAGGAACGTGCATTTTCAATGCGCTACCGAATTTCAATCAAATTTTCAATGCGCCACCAAATGCTAGAGGTAAGCTGCCAAGTTCTTCTCTTGAAATAAATTCTTATAATGTAATAACATATTTAGAAGTGTAACTTTTAAAACTGAATTACCGCTCGCTATCAATATTTTTTCGAAATTGATTTATACTATTCTGTCATTGTCATTGACATGCTATGTCATGACTTAATTCAAACGACCATCACCTACACAGTGTGTTAGTCGGCGCCATCATTCCTCAATCCATCAATAAACATATTGAACCTTCATAGTCTTTACCCCAACCTACATAATACATATTTACACTAATTAATTAGGAGAGAGACGGCCGTTTGTTACTTTTAAGTCCAATTTCAATCCCTCCGAGTATGAACATCTTCAAAAACAGACTAGACGAAGCTATGCAGGAGCATATGTTCAGTCTTAAAATGTCTAGCAAATTACGGACCAGGCAATAAGTCCAGCAGCTATCTCAATCAATCGTCAGCTATGGAAAGATCGGGTTCCAAAGGCCGGATCCCTTGTGAATCAAGTCACGAAAAGTTCAAGAATCGGCAACAGGCCATAGGCTTATTTCTTCAACGCCGACACTTCTATTCTATTCTATTCTTTAGCCGCCCTCATTTTCCGTGCTACACCCTTGAGATAGGATTTACGTAGAGCTTAATTGCTCGAAGCAAATAGTAGAACATTTCACTATTATCCCGAAATTTCTTCGCGTAACAACATTTGGTAAAGACAGCTGTCTCTCTGAAATATACGGATATGCACGCAGATAATTTCTTCTTATATGTGCAGGAAATTGCTGCGAGCATGGAATTAAATGTGTGAAATTTTGAAAACGTTAATTTTGCAATCGATGGGTCATGGATAAAAATGTTGTAGTCTTACATGCAAAATCGTTTTTTACTACAATAAAAAATATTAATTCCATGCACTAACCAAAACGCTCTCCAATCAAATCCACGTTTTAAACTTTTTTCCCTAGAACTCAGAGATTAAGACCACAAATCAATGAATATACAAGCCTTTACTTCAAATTCATTACAAAAATGAAACCTATATTATTTTAAACCAGCTTTCAAGTGACGTGTATAGAGAATTTAAAAGTCTACACTCATCTTGACGATACGAGTATATTTTTTTTAATTTCCGATTATCGTCTTGCTTATAATCGATTTATAATGTATGCGGAGAAATAGAAGGAGTTTGACAGAGCATTTTTATCTCAAAGATGCTTTTATTTATAGTATCTCGCCGGCCAGGGCGCAATCATCTGTTTCGCCACTTACTTTCCTGTAATTTGGTCTGACTAATTTACGGTGTATGTTTAATAAAACTTCTGCTCATTGTAAGTGGCATATAGAGACGATATATGTCAAGGATGAATAACATAAACTGTTAAAGGAAACGCATCAGTTAATTTTTTTTTTATTTTCATCGTGGCACAGTGTCGTTCTCTATATTCATTAAACGGCCGCTTCCTACTTGTCTGAGCCTTACTGAAATTAATTTAATCAAAATTTAGTTTAACTTTAACGTTAAATAACGGTTTAAATTTACGTTACATGTAACGAGAGGAACTCGCAGCGCAATGCAGACGATATGAAAACATAAGAGAAAACTGAGACGACTATGAGACGGGCTGTGTGATCACAAGATGACTTAACGTCTTGAAATGAAATTATAATGTGAGTCCGTACCTGTGGGCGTTTGTGAGATTTAGAGGGCCATCCTTTGCAGTTACCCGTCAAAACGTGACAATTTAGAGCTCCTGTTCAACCCTCTAGATCTTAAGACTGCGATTAACGATCTCGGCCAAAAGGATCGTGGTCTACGCTAAACGCGCGGAATCATCAACTCGCGAACTCGTTACCAGGGCCTATACTTTCAAAAAAAAATTTAAGAGATCGTAAGTTCATCAGCCAATCATTGACGGCCTTTCAAGCAAAATTCGCCAATCATAGACAAGAAAATAGAGCGTAAGTACTTACATTCACCGAGCGAGTTTTGAAAGTATGGCCTCAGATCACGATAGAAATTTTCCTGCATTTTCACCCTGAAATTTACGAATTCTAATGAATTTGACATTCTCAAATGCAGGTTAACAAATTCTACTCTTTATGCAATTTATATGGACGAGAAACAGAAGTTCATTCTAAATCTAATTCTTGCTTTCAAATCCCCATATTAATGGATTTTTCTTGAATACAATAATTAGAGTATTTATAATTTATTATTTCACAGTACTTTATACCTTCCAGACCATTAGCAATTTGTTCCCAAATTCATATATAAATTGATATTTTATAAGCAACATAGATAATTTACATTATTATTTCATTGTATTTTTGTATTGGTATATATTCAAGGTTATTTATGTTACTTGAATGAAAAATCAATTAAGATTTTTGAATTTTCAAAATGATTTAGCTTCTTAAACGGAAATTACCGAAAAATTCTCCATATAATTCCACTGTGGAACATAACTCTAGGGATATGAGCAGCAGAATATTCGAATCAATTCATAATAATTTTATCTCATCAATTTGGTGACGTCGAAGCTCGATTTGATTAATGATTTACTGTCAGTTGGTGAGCGCTGCACCTGGTGACGACATTGATGGAATGCGTTGTTCGATTGACGATCTAGGTATCAGAAATAATTAATTATTATTATATTTAAATTACTGGAGCGATTAATGTTCGCGTAGCAAAATTATGAACAATGAATAATTGAAAAATTGTCGAGATTTTCAATAATGCAATTACAACATTCCATGGGTGTGATTAACTGGACTAATTAATATAGTTCATGTTCATATTCAGAATGAACAGCGTTTGTAACATTGAGTTTGATTTGTTGGACATCTTTAAGTAAGAAGTTAGGGAGTAAAAATATTTTACCGCTAGCTTCAAATTCTTCTTTTCATTATGAACACTGGATCTGGCTCACTCAGTGTAAATGATCGAAATTTTCATCCACAAAGTTATGTAGGGTTCTCTTCATTTTGAACGCTGGCCCCGGTGTAATGTTTGAGGTTTTCATCCACAAAATTAAGTAGGGTTCTCTTCATTTTGAACGCTGGCCCCGGTGTAATGTTTGAGGTTTTCATCCACAAAATTAAGTAGGGTTTTCTTCATTTTTAACGCTGTTACCAATGTAAATGGTTGAGGTTTTCATTCACAAAATTAAGTAGGGTTCACTGCATTTTGAAGTAATTGGTTGAGATTCAGCGTAAATGGTCGATATTCTCATAAACCAAATTAAATGTGGTTTTCTTCGTTTTTAACGCTGTGGCTCCCACAGGCGACTGGTTGAAATTTTCGTTTGCAAGACTATAGCAAAGACCTCTTCGTTATGAAGCTGTAGCTCACAAAACACATTTTATTCTCTTTGCTTGTGTGCCTCAAAATCAATTCCACACACTAATTTTTACATAAATGATATGGATATCCAAATTTCACTATGTTGAACAAATGAAGGCGTATTAAAAAGGAGGAATGACAACCGAACACTTTCCAGTGAATAAATACCCTTTCCAGAACGGCTCTTACCATTCATTTGCTTCTCCATATATTTTAACGATAAATTATGTTGAATTATATCTTCGAAGTATCAAAT